CTAATGAGCCGACATATTTAATAAGGACTATAAGTAGATAAAAAAATGAAGAAAAGGCTTTAGTTAAGAATAAGACTAAAGATAAACAATTTATGTTTCTAATGTTGATTAGATAGATCGTGCTGGTTGAATAAAATAAAAAAAGAAAAAGAAGCGAAGTGTTTTCCTTTGTTCCACTACTTCCAGTTTCTCGCATGACAAAGAAAAAAAAGAATAACTATAGTATCTCTATTATATCTCCATCTATTTATCTCGCTATCTTATATACGAAGACCCCTCTTTTCATCATGCCTGACAGTTCGACACAAATTAAGGAGAATTCATCGTTTTTTTTCTATTTCTTTAGAGAAGAGGTATCATAAAGACTGGAAGAAGTATAGAGCATACTGCACATCTCTCTCTTTCACACAAGAAAAAATATGAAGATCTCACCGGGTACACAATATGAAAACATAACCAACAACTAGCATGACAAAAAAAGATAATGATGAAACAACAAAAATTAGATTCACCACTTATAGTTTATACATTTAAATAACTTAAATTCAATTTTACCGTCGATAACACATTTTCGAAAATGAGTCGAAAAAGTGAAAATACTATACAAATCAAGACTATCAGAAATTCTTCTTTCACTAATACCATCGTGTTTTTTCCTTAAATACCAATACGCCAAATTTCTTGCATTGTTCCTTGTCATGAATAGAGATTGACACAAGTGCTCAGGGTACAGCGTGCGCTGATTACTCGTACGAATCTGCACTCATGAACCTTACAGAGAATTAATTTTAGATTTTATCAGTTTCTCATTGATCTTTATTAAATTTTAATCGATAGATCTAGATTTTATTTGTTTAAAATTGCATATTTTACTGGAAAAATAGTTCGTTATTACTCGTCGCAATAGCTTTAGAGTCTTCATTTTTTCTTTTTTCTTAGTCAAATTTCAATTTCTTCTAATTTAGATAAAAACTTTTATTATTTCTTTATAGATCAGTACATAAATTTGAGAGAGAAACTCATCTGGCTATATACAATTTGAATATTAGACAAAGCATGTCTATACTGTCTTTACTCTGTTCTCTATTCTTTGCACTCCGTATACTCATATTATTTAAACAATTCTAGCATGTATATAATCGCATGCAACATCAACAACACAAACTGCTTTTTCTGGAAAATATCAAGTTCTGCTTTTCATCGCTTGAACCTAATCATTAAGCTTCTATTTTTTCTACATGGAATCAAAAATAAAATTAGAACCATCAGTAAGTTAAGTAAACCAAATTTGTTTTGTCCCTTTTTTAAAAAAGAAAATTAATTATAATTCATGCTGTTCTCTCTATCTTTCTCTCTCTCTCTCTCTTTCTCTCTATTTGTCTTTTGTGCCACCAGCGCGGATCGGAAGTAAAGTGATTTTAATCATTTTTTTCGTCTTCCATTTTTTGTTTTGCGATAGATTTTTGTCTGTTTTCCTTCTGCGTTTGTAGATGTATGTGTGTATTTGCCAAGAAAAAAACATACACACACAACATTTTTTTTCTCCTCTCCCTTTAGTTAACCATTAATATTAGTATCTCTTTCGTGACCATCATTTCTAAAAAAAATTGTACGGTAAGTATTTCCCAGTATTTATTTTATAATATAGGTGTCATTTTTTTCGATATGTTTATGAAACATGATCTATTATTTAAGATGAAAATTTTCGATATTGATTGAATTAGTTTCTATCAATTAAATACATAATTATATAAGAGCTGAAGTTGGACTATTATGTGCATGAAACCGGAAAAAAAAAATATATTTTTTTTTTCGTCATTGTGGCGTGTAAAACTAGAGTGTTGAGAGATCCGATACCAATTACATTAGTATATCGAAGGTCATTTTTGACAAGATTTTTTTCCAAAACAATCAATTTATAAATGTATTGATGAGATCATTTTATTTTCTATAGTTTTTATTTTTAAAATAACCACTTTATAAAATTATAATTACGGATAAGAAACAAGTGTTGGATAATTATTTTTGATTAGTATTGACAAATTATACCTATTCTTGATATTATATTATTATTTAAAATTAGTTCCGAAATAAGAAATGACTTAATATTGTCATAATGATATAATCATATCAAAAGTAAGAAGAATAACACTTTTTCTTCTTTTTTTTTGGTTATTCTTTAAGTACTATAACTTTAGGCAACAAAAACATATTTCTTTTTTTTTTTGTTGTTTCCCTCAAGTATGCTAAAGAAAGAACACCTACTATTAACCATAATGTATCAACTACACAGTATTCGTCTATACTAGAATATTTGGTACAGTATAGACAATATCGCCCCACTACTAAAAAAAAAACTACCTAATAATGTAAGAAAATAATGATTTCGAATCTACGTACATAGATGATGCTGATAAATAAAGTTGTTAGAGATGAATGATGAAATTTGATGCAGTAGATGGAAAATGAATAAATATAATTCACCGCGGTGTATTTATTAGATATTGAGTGTCTAAAAATCTTTTTTTTTTCTTTTATAGTAGAAAATGCTTTAGATCGATAAAAAGAAGATAAAAATAAAAATTATAAGTGTGTAAGTTTGGAAATTAATCGAATCAAAAGTTGACTGATTGTTATTACACTAAAAAAAATGTTATTATTATTATTAGTTTTTTTTTTATCGAGATATATCAGATATATCATATAATAGAAGTTGTTAATCATCTGCAATCGGCTGTCAGAACTCGAAACGATTTCCTTAAAAAATACAACGAATCGTGTAAAAAAAGCTGTTCATATATTCACATTTAGATATTATTTGCTTGTTGAAAATAGAATAAACGAACTTTAGCGCATGAATTAATGAAATAACTAATGCAAATAAAAATAATTATATATGTAGATGAAACAATTTATACATGTCGATAGACAGATCGTTACTATTTCTCTGTTAGTTTCTACGTTATTTTATCTGATATAAAGTTTCTCATTTTTTTTTTTCTATGATGTAGAAAGAATGAATTACCATATGGTAGCGCACGATACATTTTTAAAAGAACTAAGATCTTGACAAGTTTACCTGTAAAATTTTAGAATACTTTTTACAACATACTATCATACAATTAATCAACCGACTTTAATCTAGATCACAGACTATTGTATGTTATTCTTTGAAACTATTTCTCTTAATAACTCTCTCACACCCTCTCTCTCTCTCTTTTTTTTTCATTTTATTGCATTCTATAATCAGCTTTTGTGTTTTTTTTATTATTATTTTAAGTGAATCTTCTCATTAGTCTCAACAACATCATTATTTTTAGAAAAAAAAGAGAGGTAAATTAATTAAGTTAAGATCATTCTCTTTACGACATAAGGCTAATTATTATTATTATTATTTTCCGTTGATGGTAACAATAATGCCTTATTTTTACTCTAACGAAACTCAATAAGCAAGTTTTCATGCTAAATAAATCTTTAGTATTATTTTCTATTTTGGTATAGAATCAGAAAAAAACATACACATGTTATAATAGTCTATAAACGCGATGTAATAATTGTATTTTGATTTGAAACTGAAGATGAAGATGAAGATGAAAAAAAGAACAACAGAAAACTTCATTTTCACCTTGTTCTAAAAATGAGAACAGATTGAAAAGTAATAAGATATTAATGCAAAATTTTGTGAAACATGACAATTTTATAAAAAAAATTTTCTATATTTTCAGAGAAAATCATATAGCTACGCAAATAAAATATTACAGAAATATTATGACGGTAATTATAATGGTTATTATTTATTTTTGTGTTGACTGAAGAGTAGAGAAACTAAATCGTTATCTTGTGAAAAAGTTCATCAACACATAATTTTTATGCACATGAAAACTCTTCTTCTTTTTCTATAGTCGAGAAAACAAATGCTAGTTTATTATGCTGTGATGTTCCGTTCGTTTCTACATCTTCTTTTATGTATATACTAGAGAATAGCTGTCATAATTTTATAAACACATTGACTCAAAAAAAAAAAAAAAAAGAAAAGAAAAGAAAGAAGGAAAGAGTTACAAATTGAAACGCATCTGACAACACAGGAAGTTTTATTCATCGATTAAAAAACTGCTCCTACATATTATAAGACGTGACAAGAAATGTTAAGATATATGTAGAATTAAAAAATAATTCACCTTATACTAGATAAATCTTTCATTCATTACAAATTTCATGAATGAAACAATATATTTGGAGAATAAAGGGTGAAGTGACTTGAAAATTAGTTTTTTTTAATGTAATCTTAAAATTAATATAAAATTGTTTATTTAAACTAATAGATAGTTTTTACTTGGGCTAGATAATTCATCAATGTATGAGTGAATATGCAGCAAAGATTTATCACACAAAGACAATCCTTGTACAGACAATAAACAGAACCGAATAAATTTCACTTCTGCAGTAAAATACTGCAAAAGTAAACTTTGACGTTTTATCATATCAATCGTTGTACATGATATATGACAGAACGTCGAAGTTTACTTTTGCAATATTTTACTGCAAAAGTGAAATTTATTTGGTTCTGTCTATTGTCTGTACAAGGATTGTCTTTGTGTGATAAATTTTTGCTGCATATTCACTCATACATTGATTGTTTATTTATTTATTTATTTATTTTCAGAAGGGATTTTAATCATATAAAAACAATCTATTACATGTACATAAATAATTTCTATATAATTTTCAATCTCTCTAATAGTAGTACATACACCGGCCATAGACGATGTTAATTAAAAAAAAATATTAATTATGTATGTTAAATTAAATAATGGAAGATGAAACTTATTTTTTTCCAGCTGGTAATGCAAATAGTGGGTTACAACAAGAACAGTGTTTTGTGACAACAAATCATTCATATGATTATGATAAAAATAATCCACCAACAACAAATTCTTCATTAAAATATCGTCGTATTTATAATCCATCAAAATCCTCATCCACATCAAAAATTCTTAATAATGAACATGATGGAACATCTCTCTCATCAGATTCCGGTTGTTGGTCAGACGAATTGTTAATGAATTGTTGTGAACCCTTTGATAAAGTTGTCATTAATATAAGCGGTTTAAGATTTGAAACGCGTTCATCAACATTAAATCGTTATCCTTTAACATTGTTAGGTAATACAAATAGACGTTCCATGTATTTTGATTTTCATTCAAATGAATATTTTTTCGAAAGACATCGAAGTTCATTTGAATCTGTATTATATTTTTATCAATCACAAGGAAGATTAATACGACCAGATAATGTACCATCAGAAATATTTTTAGAAGAAATTAAATTTTTTGATCTTGGTATGTATAATTATTTCGTACAAAACTCTTTTCAAATTAGCATTAAGACACTATCAATGGGGAAATTTTTAGTATATAAAACGGCGTGTACATCCGTGAATATCGTGAAATGAAATGTGATCGCACGTGAACATCGTAAAATGGTGTGCGGGTACGCATAAAAAATATATATCTACTTGGGACAACACATGAACTACTCACAGAAACTTTTCGCACGTGGTCATTAGTGAAAATTATATAACGGTGTGTGAATATACCTGAAAAGAAATTCTCACTTGTAAATGCATATGAAATTACAGAAAGTTCACACGTAACCACGCATTTGGTGTTGCAACTACACGACCCTAACGTCGTGAAACTTCGACAAAATTTCCCCATAGGTAGTATTCATAACTGATAAGTTAATAAAAATTTGTCTATTAAGTTAAAGAATAATTCGTAAAGATTTAGTTATATTTTAGGTGAAGAAGTTTTAAAACGTTATCGAAAACAAGAAGGATATATTGATGAAAAACAAATTGAACGGCCTAGTAATGCATATCAACATGCTGTCTGGGAAGTTTTTGAATGTCCAGAATCATCACGTTTAGCTCGTGTTGTAGCTATAATTAGCATTGTTATGATAACCGTTTCAATCGCCACATTTATAATTGAAACATTACCATTTATAAGAAATGATACTAATCTAATTCCTACAAGAAATACAACATTACTCAACTCAAACAATGAAAATTCAATTGTTCAGTCGGAAACACGTTATTTCTGGGTATTTTTTATTATTGAAACAATTTGCGTGACTTGGTTTTGCTTCGAAGTAATATGTCGTTTTCTCGTTGCACCATCAAAAGTAGCATTTCTTAAAAATGCTCCAAACGTTATTGACATTGTATCAATTATACCCTATTTTCTTCAATTAATCGGTTTAATTTATCAGAAAAAAGATAGCAACGTATCCGGATTTTCTTCAACATTAACTGTTCTGAGAATAGTACGTTTAGTTCGGGTATTTCGTATATTCAAATTGTCAAGACATTTCAAGGTAATGAGGCTAATTAGTAGAAGAATTTTAGAATAAAACTATTTCTACTTTTACATAATCCAGATTAAACGAAATTAATTAATTTTTATTGTTTCATATTTTTAGGGTTTACAAGTATTGGCACTCACATTTTTGGCATCATGGAAAGAATTGCTACTGTTAATGTTTTTTCTCTTCATTATTGTTATTGTATTTTCAAGTTTTATGTATTTCTGTGAATCTGATTATAGTGGTGGAGTCACAAATAAACCACAATATGTTGGTACAACATCATTTAACAATCAAGATCAAACAAATCAATTTTTATCTATTCCACATTCATTTTGGTTTGCAATTATTACGATGACAACAGTTGGTTATGGTAAGTATATAGAAACACGCTTCACCCATGAATGATGTGTGAGAGCAACACACATATAAACATCACATGATTGTGGCAAATCTTTTTATTACTTTTTAGGCGACATCGTACCTAGAACGAATATTGGCAAAGTAATAGGAGCGGCATGGTAAGTGTATTACACTGACGTCTAATATTTTTTTCTAAATTTTTGTATATACGACATTTTTAATTAATGAGTATTTGTTCTACTTTATAGTGCACTTACCGGTGTTTTAACTATCGCACTGCCTGTTCCTATAATTGTTTCTAACTTCACATATTTTTATCAACGACAAATGGAAGACAATGAAAGACAGTATCAGGCGAAAAAAGGACCACAAGCAAATGTAAAAAAATCTGGTGGTTTATCTGAAAGAGAAAAGGGTCCTGAATTGAATGAATGGGAATTGGTGACTGAGCCAGATTATCATGATTATCGTGAAATAACACACGCAGTTACCAAGAGACTCGTTCGAAATTCTTACTTTAAAGCATTTCGTGGTTCAAAACGAATCACACCGACATCAATAATGAACAATTCTAACCGTAATTATCAAACATTAAATCAAACAACATTTGCTTCACCGCAAAATAATAGCTCAAATACCTTTACACATCATCATCCACTTCAGGGGCTAAGTCGTTCATCAGCCACCGCTACAGCAACAAATAGCAGACACAATCATTATCCAATACATGAGAAAAGTGCTTTAGAAACAACACGTCTTTTGAGATAGCGAGATTTATCATTTTAGTTTTATTTTGTTTGTATCTATAAATATTCTTCAAGGACTTTTATTTTCATATAAAAAATTATTTTGTATATCAATTTGTCCATATACTATGTGTGATGTACGAATTATCAGTATATATTCTTCCATTTTATCTGTAAATTATATATTCAGTATATATATATATATGTGTGTGTTGGCTCAACCATATTCTTTATTTCGAATATAAAAATGAGAATTTCTAAAAGGTCATTCCGTTTAGAAACATTTAGACAGCATAATATGCTTTCTAACTGTGTCCCTCCTGTGAACTTTATCTGGTTAATGTAGAGAAGAACCCGTGGTTATGTGGGAGTTACAGTTATACAGTTAGTCTTATAGTTTTCTAAATTTCGTTTCTATGAACGTACATATTCAATTGCGTTAACTGCAACCATAAATAAGTACAGATGACATATTTACATTTTAAATATTAATAAACATTTACATGCTGCACTAGCTAACAATAAATTGTAGGCGTTTTCAGTAAGATTCGCCAAAAAAATAAAAAGTAAAGTAAAAAACGAAAATTAAATTCGCGAAACAGAGACGATACGAACAAAAAGACAATGATGAAACCACAAGGACATAAAAATTACAAATTAGCTTCTGACAAGTTGTATGATACGAAGGATTTCTTCGGACTCTTGGACTTACTCAGATAATATGTTGCGACATGATACCAGATTCGACACTTTCACAAGCGATGCAAAAATAGTATGCACTCCACGTAACGTAAGAATATATACACGACGCACAAAAGAGGTCGCCAGCCTACAATGTATCTGAGTATATTTTTTTCTTTTAATGCATTGATCGGCAGGTATTTTCGTTTGTTTTAGTCTTGAGCTTTTTATCGTAGGACACGTGGTGGTTTCTTCGAAATCTGCACTATCGCAACTTTTATTGCTATGATACATCCGTGAAAATCAATTCGTAATGGTTGCAGATTAGTTGAATTATTTTTCCTTCCGTTCCTAAACCAAAACACATGGCCTGAAATCATTGCAATCACTAATTTGATTTCTTTATAAAAAAACACGTTGTTCTAGGTATGTTTATTCATTCACCTACCTTTATTGGCTCGGATAATTTAATTTAGGCTCCTTTTTTAGAATTTCATATGCAACAAATGATTAGTATTTCATGTTTTATCTTAGAATGCCACAATTGAAATTTTTTAGCTTTGTTTTGATTTAAACAAGCGGTACATGTTTCATAATGACAAAATGTTTGATAAAAGCACTGAAGGCTGTTGATCTTCAAAAACACGCTCTTGTGTTCAAATCCCTCGGTTATGATAGCGCTGGTGCCCTCGCAAATTTTCAAAGTAATCATTTTAATCGTTTGAACTTAAATGAAGCCGAATTATTACGTTTTATTGCGTTATTGGATGTTTTGAAAGATGCAACTCGGGAGGGAAAGATCTGTCCTCATTACTTTAACTCCAAACTAAAAAATGATGTAAATGGAGCAAATGGTAGTGAAGGACGAACCATAAAAGCAGCATGGACTATTCCCACAGATGAACCAATGCTCAATAAACAATCAGTTCGTGTCACATCATCTTCCTCTTCAAACGTCGGAGGTAACAAGGAGAATCACAAATCATGCAAGCCTACATATAACCGTTGGCAAACCATTAATCGAGCATCAACTAAACACAAGTTGGCGTTTAATGGAACATTGCATAATCGATCAAAAAAATCGAACACATTGCAGAGCAAACAGCAAGCTTGGGTAAAAACATCATCTCAAAGTTCTTCCAGTCAGATAAATACAAATCGTTCGAATGACAGTTTAAAAGTTCGACAAAAACGTTCAACAAGCTCATTGACATCGTCATCAAATGATCATAATCGTCGTAGTATGAGCGCATTTGATGTTCTCCGTTTGAAAGATCAGCAGCATGCAAAATCATCTAATGATGACATCTTTGTTCGACCGTTTACAAGTCCCGAAAAATTTGCTCATCCAAAGAATAATTCAGCTCAAAAGTTTTTTGGAGCAAAAATATTTCTCAATCGGCCATTGGTCGAACATGTGAAAGTAAATGGATATAACTACGGAATACCAACAGCCAAAAGAGCACGATCAGCACCTTATCGGACATTTACTCAACAAGATTCAGTTAGTTCAAGTAAAATATTTTCTTCAAATGTAGATGGTATGACCACGAGTACATTATACGCAAAACCAGCTGAAATTTATGTTTATGCAAGAAAACGTCCATTATTATCAACAGAAACAAATTTTAACGATGGAATTATTGTACCCGATCAAAAACGCATGATTATTGCTGAAAAAAAATCAAATTTAGATCGCTCACCTTTGCTTAAAAAAGTAAGAAAAAACAATCCGTTTGTCATTAGTGGAACTAAAAGACTCAATGAGGAGGTTTTATTATTGTTCGTTATACAATTTTAATATAGTTTTCACTTTTTGTTCAGACAGAATTTCAATTTGATCAAGTATTTGGTGCTGAAACATCCAATAAACAAATATTTGATCATACTTTACTACCGTTCATTGAAAATACATATAATCGTCAGAATATGACATACATCTGCTTTGGTCAGACGGGTTCAGGTATAATGATTAACAGTCTCAATTGCTGTTGCTATTGAACAAGATATTCTTTCGTTGTAATACAGGCAAAAGTCATACAATGTTTGGAACAAAATCAATGGATGGACTACTCATTTTTTCCATGCAACTTTTACTGAATGAAAATTCATCGCATTCAATTATTTATGGTTCATTTTATGAAATATATAATAATGAAGTTTATGATTTATGTAATGCTGGAAAACGGTATGTTCTTTTTTTGTCTGTATTCATTTATTCACAGCTAAAAACTGAAGTTTTTTTAGATTATTTGTTCGAGAGGATGGTGAAAAACATGTAAATGTCATTAACCTTAAAGAGACACAACTTGACCATCTAGATCAACTTCGTTGTGTTATTGATAATGGTCTTAATCGACGACATCATGGTCGATCAGCATTTAATTCGAATTCTTCACGATCACATGCTGTTTTTCAACTAGTGTTAAAAAGCAAAAAAGACAATAGAACTATTTTTCGGTATATTGCAGTTATATAACTAGCTATTCGGGTTAAAATTAGAAATATTGATTTCTGTCTTGTAGATTAGTCTTTATCGATTTGGCTGGTAGTGAACGTGCACATGATGCTCAAAACAATCAACGCCAAACACGAAGAGAAGGAGCACAAATCAACTGGAGTAAATTATGCGTATAATCAAAATTTTTTTAAAATTATTTTCTATTTATCAATTACAGGTCTATTGGCTTTGAAAGAATGTATACGCAGTATGGATCTTGTCCACTCTCACGCTCCATTTCGGCAAAGTAAAGTAAGTTCATCAAACTACTACCTGAAAACATCTGCTATTCAATTTTCTGTTTCAGTTAACTCACATCTTACGTGAATCATTAGTTGGCTCAAATACTCGGACATGTTTGATGGCCAACGTTTCACCAGTGGAAGATTGCTGTCAGTGTTCATTAAATACACTTCAATACGCTGCTCGTATACGTGAAATAAGCATCAGACATAGACAACGTTTACGTTTAAATCAAAATTATCAACAAAAACCAATTAATCACCCTCCGTTACAAAATTTTCGTCATGAAGTGGTCCACGACAATGATCAGGACAAAAAATTTAAGCCAGCAACCGCCTCAACTCCTGTTCATCGGCAAAATAATGTTTTTCAATCTTCAACTGATAATCCCCTGACACTCATAGGTAATGCATTAAAGTAGAATAATATACCCTACTATGAATAATTTTTTCGTGTTTCAGGTCAAGGATATGGCGATGCTGCGACAAGCGGTTATGCATCAATTGATGTTGATTGGAAAATGGTGGATGATGATAGTCCTATTACAGGTTTTCATCTTAAAATGAATAAACAACAACACACAAAACAATCAAATAAACAACCACTGAATTATGGTCATCAGATAGTGAATAATAATGAACACCATCTTGATAGAAATTCTAAATCAAGTTATTTTCCTTCATCACCAATAGTACAACAACAAAAACGAAGTTTTGACATGAATTTGCTGTACGATGAGAATAACAACCGGCTCAATCACGCGCTCAGAGAATCATCAGTAAAGAATTATCACAATCAAACAAATTTACACAAAATCGTTACTTCTAATCAGTCACAAGAAATTCGAAAACATGAAAATGAGATTTGGATGCCATTTTCACACCAAAGCAATTTGATTCCTCATACCGTACAAGCTGCAACGAGAGGTGGCTACGAATCAGAATCAAGCTCAACAATGACAGAACAACAGAAACCAGATAATTACTCAGCTATTTACAATAAAAATATTCAAAACAGAGCGATTAATCCTTCTTATCCAGCAAAAAAATTAAACTTACAACCGACGGATGATACGACTGATGCTAATCCATATTACAGTAGCACTGGCACAGGCACAGAAAGTCTTGGAACTAAGATATCTCGACTTGCCAAAGGTCCTGTGAATAAAGGTGTCAAAAAATATATTCATAATAGACAAATCGAAGATTTACATATGAATGACCGAAACTATGATACTACAGATATCGAACAAGGTGTGATGTATTCTGATAGACCATCACAAGCCACAAATAATGATCAAACAGGTTTCTTCACGCAACGAGATGATCCACTATATGGATTATCGGATGTAAAATTCAATGGTAAGTGTAAGAACTATGCAAAGAATAATCTTTAAGATGTGATAAAACGCCTTTCGTTGTGTTGTAGGTGCCTATTCGCCGAATGCAAGATCTGTAATTAAACCTGAGACAAAATACAACGGCAGCATCACTGCTACAACAGATAATAAAGGTACATCTCCGTCATGTTCATTACCATTTTCAGCACTTGAAAGTATTGCACATTACACAAATACACACTCATCACCAAAATCATCACTACGCTCACATAACTCTGAAGTCTATTGGTTAGATGAAAACGGCATGAAATTAATGTCAAATGTTATACCTTTAACTAAAACTAACATTTCTCCATTACAACAATCCTGTCATGTTGAAATGAGTCAACACATTTCAACAAGTAAAGAATTGAATTATAATCAATCTAGAAAACAAAAGTTATCTAGTAATGCCCGTAAAAGAAATCGAAATAAGAAACAAATTGACAGTGACGGATCCGATGATTCTGATGCCCAGATACTCAAAGAAAACAGAGCCAAATCTTCCTCGCCCAACTCATGGATTTCGAATAAAAACCATTATGTCAGACATAATTTACTTCATCAAAAAATGATCGATTTAAAGAAAATAACAAACTGGAAAACACAACTAGATGATGATAAACAACAAATTCGAACGATGAAAACTGAGTCGAGTCAAACAGATCAGTATAACAATTCTTTTATTTCAAAATCACCGACATCTTTCCGTCAACAAATACAAATTATTTCCGAGGAGAACGAAAATATATATGATAGAGTGAATCAAATATATTCGAAGCAACAAGATAGTGACGTTTATCCATCGATGCTGGAACAAACAGGTTTGTAGTCATCGATATACTTTGTATGTTGATGAAGACTTGTTTTCTCTATTCGAAAGAATGGTTTTGACGGGACGAATTCTTTTTTACACACATATTCTACGCACTCGTTCCTCCCACATATACTTGACATTCTTTCGATTACTAACTGAGCTCTCTCTCTCTAAGCAGAACAAAACTTTTTCAGTAAACAATGAAAAAGGCAATCAGCCATCAAACGGGCAACAAAACCAAATGCCACATTTATTATCTTCATTCGCACTTCAAGCGCAAACTATTCCAATAAAACGTAACTATCAATCACCGGTTGATTTCGATTTCTATGAGCAAAATTCATATAGTCCAGTATATTCTCATCAGAATGTTCATGGACAAGCGATCTTTCTTCCTTATCATCCTTTGCCACCTAAGACAAGCAACTCATTTTGTCAAATTTATCCGAATATAATGCAACATAATCAACCATATTATCCTATATTACCATCAACATTATCATCTTTAAAGCCGAAGTTTTGGCAAATATATCTAAGCTCTAATGAGCAAAAGAATTTATTTCAAAGAAATAAGAGCGATGTGATCAATGAGACAGCAGAAAACACGTATATTGGTGAAAAAAAAGAATTTTTAACTATTTTTGATAAATATAACGGTCGAGACGATAACAATTTCATCCAAACCAATAATAAAAAATTAAAATCGACATCTAATAAGTTTGTACATGAGAAAGAAAATGATCAGAAGAATAGAACTGATTACAGACGAAAAAAAACAGATTTAACACCCACCACAACATCAAAACTAGATGAGACAATATATCAATTATTTTAAATTTGTATATCTTTGTAATCAGACGTTCTAACGACACAAGTCTTAGATTTGACAGAAAATATTCATTATTCTCTTAAATCATCTCACTTCACGTTGTTAACTGTTTATAGAGCAATTTTAATAGGGACTGCGGCACAGAAGAAAATATGATTATTTTTGAAAATTTTTCTGACATTTTATTGAAAATGTTGTTCTTTTTCCATAAATACTCTAAATTTGTGTCGTTAAAATTTTATAATCTATTCTCAGTCACGCAATAAGTCTTAATTGTCAAAGTCCATGATTAACAAACGTGTATATAACGTAACTCTGATCTGAAATTATTTCCTATTAACAGAGGAAATGCAGTTAATAAGTTGAATGTTGTTTAGTAAAGATTTATGCTATACATAAATTAAAACTACAAATATTTCTTTTTTTCACTGCTGCTACATTATTTTTGTCCTTGCATTTTGCGTTAGATATTTAATGTTTTTCTAGTTTATCTTTAAGTGTTAATGATTATAAAATATAATTTTTCTCTTCTATTTTAGTTGCTGGAGATCAAAATAAAAATCAGCTTAATTCTAACTATACGTCCACAAATTTGACTAATGTAACTCAGGATCAAACAGATTATAGCACGACGGTGTCAACAACAAACTTTGGTATACGTGTAACTGAACAATTGAATGCATTACGAACATTGCTTGAAACACGTTTAAAAGAACAAGAAGATACAGCAAATCATTTTTCATCACCTCCAAAAATCACATCAACATCATCATCACCAGATGATTATGCTCGTGCATGTCATCAATCAACTTGTCAAAAACAATCGCTCTCAGATGACAAATTATCTCATACACAATCACAGATAAAATCAACATTTTCATTAGGACATGGTGATAACATTACAGGAAAAAAATTCACTTCCACACTGTACGTTAATACCAATGCTATGTCAACATCCGATGATGAGGTAGATGATGAAGTAAAAAATTATACACAAAACTTGACGCTAAAAGAACAATCACAATTAACGTCAATACCCAATCATAATCATCAAAAATATTCAAAAGAAGTGCTTACCGATGATCAAGCTCCATCCTCGCCAGTCTTACAAAGATACAATGAAATAGAAATAGACTCAGAATATTTCCTGCAACCTAATTATTATAGTCTATCACCATTAACAAATTTGTTAAATCCTGTATTACCAATATCAACAACATCAGCAGCAACAATCACATCCAATTTAGCAGCTAATATTGAGTCAAGTACGTCTTAATGTAAACACAGAATACTGATTTATTGACTGTGAATTTATTTTTTAGATAATGATACACCTGTGGTGAATAATTTAAATAATGGGCGACTTATACAAACAAGTGATTCTGAACGAACAAGTCAAATAAACACATTATCAACAAATCCATTTATAAAGGGATCTGGTTCATCATTTGAACAATTTTTAACACATTTAACAAACGAACTTCACAATATTGACGTCAGTATTGATAACAAAACAGACGAAAATCTTGTGTATCAACCACATTCAATTCAAAATACTATCGATAATTTATTAACAAATAAACACGATGATAACAGAGGTCGAAAACCGGCCGATAATTCGGTTGATCCGCTATTTGATAGCGGTAAAGGAAGTTCATTATTCAATACGAATACTTATTCATTGGACGCCTTAATGAGCACGATGAAAAATATTCAAAATAGTACAAATCTACCAGCTACAATAAAAAACGAAGATCAATGATTTGAATGGTATATTTTTTTTCTTTTATTGTCTGTTCAGCAGTTAGCGCATCGTCAGTTTCAAAACCACAGTGTGCTGCCTATAAATAGGTTTTTAGTTTTTTTTCTTATATTCTTATATTTTTTTTTTCTGCAATTTGAAATCGTGCTATGACTAGATTTGATCGAAATTACAAACACAATAGTATCGGAAGATGTCTCACTTTGTGTAGTGCGTCAATGTTGAACATTATTATTCTCAGGGTTGTCTGACAGGAAATAAATTCGTTTTCAAAACTGTGACCATTTTTTGATGTATAAAAGAAACCCTTTTTCTATCTTTTTTTCTTGTTCAATCTTGTTTAATGCGGCGCTTCACATAGATTTTTAGAAATATTAAATTGTTTTGCTTTCTCTCTCTTCTTGTCTCACATGTTTCGTGATTCATTATTTACTTTAGCTGCTTAAGTCTGTTAGTATGCTCATGCTAGATCAATCTGATATGTGATGGTTCTTATCATCAACTCTAAGAGCACTTTATTTTATATATTTCTATAATAAAATCTAACAGATACAGAGTGAATAGTTTAATGCTTCTTAGTTTGATTAATTTTGTTTTCCTAAAACAGTGACAAACTGTTTCTTTTTAAATGGGTTTTTATTCTATTTGTTTGGAAAAATATAACTATCCATTACAAATATTATTTATTGAATAATCTTATTAATTTATTTTCATGTATCAAACGTAGTCAATAGAAGATATGTGTTGGTTTTATGCTTTTATTTGAGTAAATTTGTAGAAAGAAACAATTGTATTTTACTTCTAAATAAAACTAACGTAAAACAGTGACATATATAAATAGATATATATATCTCTGACAAAATCAAGCTAAAATATTGTCTCGATTAGACATGTTTTGTTTTCAAAAATGTGATAGAAAAAATAAGATGTTAAATGTTAGTATCCATCATCATAATCACTGTCTTCTGATTCATCTTGTACTAAACTTTCTTGAAATTTTTTGGTGGCAAGTGTTGTTCGATCTCGTGCATCATCGATTGCTATTTTAATTTTATTTTTGTACTCGGTCATATCTTCAGCTTTTATACCCTTTTCAATATTTTGTGGTTGACGTTTGAGAAATCGTTCGACACAATCAAGAAATGGTCCATGAATATGAGAATAAAGTCGTGGTTCACGTTTTCCAATAATTTTTGTACATTTTAATTTAGTCAGTTGTAGAGGAAGTGAACTGGATGTTTCGAAAAATTGTGTTTTCCGAGTAGTTTCATTATTAAGCCATGAATATATTTCATTTTCATTTCGGTTTCCTGGAAGTATAAACTTTCCTCGATTAGTATTATCATTTTGTTTTCTTATATCAGTAACTTTGTTATCATTTATCTCGCCAATTGTTGGTTGTGTACCGACACGTCTAAATCGTCTCGTTATTGGTTTGAGTTGCTGTCGTAACCGTTCACGAAAAATAAAATCTTCATGATACCATGTTTCATGTTTTTTACTCCAATTTGATTCTATCTGATTTCGATGACGACGATGTGAATTTTGTGTACGTTGAGCATCTTTTTCATATTTTTTTAAGTCTATTGGTAATTGTATTGCATGCCGACGATTTGAAGTTAAAACCTCGGACCATTTTTTTTCGCTTCCATTTGAAAGTTTAATGACAGAAGCCGCTTTTGTCGCTGCCGCTGTTGCCGTGGTCATTGTGTATATATAACTTTCAAAATTTTATTTTTACTACAAAAAAGCACATTATCATCAATGTCTTAGGGAACAGGATATTGATTGCAACATACCTTAATCATAAAGAGAAACGATGCACAGAGTACTTGCCGTTAGTTGTCTAATTCTGTGATGATAAAAACGTTGGTAAAGCAAAATGTTTGTTTTTGGGAGAGAAAATTGTTGTCAATTGAGAATTTGTCATTCGATAATGTGTTACATGGATGGTTTTATACTTTCATGTTTATTCTTACTATGGCTCGTTTGTAATACACGATTGTATTTAATGGGATTAAATCAAAAAGGATTAAAATAAAAATAGAACATTCATATGTCACTTTTTGTACAATCGTCGTCGTGACCATCCAGTAGATGGCAGGGAAATATAGCTTGTACTGTAAAGCTCTGTGTTATACTAAAACCAACTGCGTATGATTTACAAACGTGGTGATTCCAAATCGTTTTGTTTCTTATGGATGGCTAAAGTTTATAAAATGTACTCTTGCAAGAAAGGTAAAGTGATTCAAAAGTTTTCTTTTAAAGAATATTCAAACCGAATCATAATAGAATAACACGATAAAGTTAAATTTATAAACATAACATAAAGCTACAGAACTTTTCTTACACATCAGAGTTTTTTCACATAATTCTGGATGCTTATTTTCATGTGTTTTATCGAAATACAAAGGTTACGGCATTTTATTGTGACTTGCTTACTGAAAATTTTGCACTATGAATAGTATTTTTCTACATTTATTCGTCGAAATACCCTATAGACGATCTTGCACTATAGTGTGAGATCTTGAGTCAAGAAAAAAAGCATCATTTACTTGAGCAAGCAGCTCAAGATCTTCACAAGAAATGGAATAAATTTCATCAAGGATACTTTCAGAGTTGTAACTCGTCTCCCAAGACATGAAATAATGATGTTACCTGCGTTTAAAAGAAAGCCAATTTCTACCTCTCAATATGTAAGTATTATTTACGTATGGCTAATTTTATGTAGAAAATCGTTTCAAGACACATGTTGTGAATATCAATAAGCTCATGGAATACAATCTGTTATTTGTTGACTGATACAGAGAGAAAAACTGAGCAAGAAAACTTTTCTGAACTATCCTACATAATGTTTGAAATTCAAACGTTTTTACGACTTGCAATATTTAAAATTCTGTTCGTATTTCATTAAAATGTGATAATATAGATAGTAGATTTCTTATCTCTAACATACTTCCATTTCATGATATAAGTTTGCAGCATTTCTCTAAATGCTCATTAAAGTTCAACAAGAAATGGATATTGAATATAAAGTATAAATATTGATATGAAATATTTTTCGCTCTTCACCAATCTGGAAACGCATTTTCAAGTGAAATTGCAACTTTATATGGTGATCAGTAGCAATAATTTGCTTTTTATTGATAAAATAGTCTTTATTTATTATCTTAATCATAAATAATGCGTTAAGTGTTTTTGCATCAAGTGAGAACGACCCTATTAAATATCTATTCTGTTCAAATGCATTCAGTAGTTGAGTTAATCTTTTTAATGGCGAAAGTTTTAAACTGTGTGAATCGGAACATGTCCAATCGTCGAACATTGTCAGGCACCGGTCAGGCAAATATTTAAAGAATATATTAGACTAGTAATTAACATAAAAGTGCCATTGAATTTGTTTTAGCAACATTTTTCAAAGTAATAAACAGTGCCAGACAGCTAAATATTCCTATTATTGCATTGAATTTCAACTTCTGCATTTAAATGAATCCTTTGAGTGCATTTTATTTTTTCTATTCAGTAGCATAAGATAAAATGTTTTCGTTTCTTATCTTAATATAATAAGAAATTCCCCTATTTTTGTTTGTGTTTTTCATATTGATATATTTGTCTATTCGGCCTGTCCAGCTAACTCTACTTGCGTATGTAATTTTGTAACGTTTTTTGGTGATTTTGTTTTGTTTGCAGAAATTTTTCAAAAAGTCAGAACTCAAAAGTGAATGAGCCATTTTGTAGACAATTCAGTTCTCTATCGATTGACCTGGTTTTGAAAAGTTTTAGCGAAAATCTCTTGGTTAGGAAATTCAAAACAATGAGAGCTACGTTTTGCATATCTCTTTTATAAATTTAGTAAAGCGGCTCTCATTGATTTGAATTTCCTAACTAAGAGATTTTCATTAAAACTTTTCAAAACCAGGTCGCTCGATAGAGAATTGAATTGTCTACAAAATGGCTTATTCACTTTTGAGTTCTGACTTTTTGAAAAATTTCTGCAAATAAAACAAAATCACCAGAAAACGTTACGGATATACAGTTAGCTGGAGAGGCCGTATTAACTATGCCATAATAAAACATTCTTTAGGTGTAAGACAGAAGGATGAATCACAACGGAACTGCCAGCAGCATCACCAATAACAGTATTGACCACAATTCTTCTAAAAGACAAATTAATGTGTCATCAATATGGCGTAAAATTTTCGTTTATTTTCTTGTAATTCTCTTTGCATTGGGTGCGTGGACAAATGTGAGTGGAATTTGGATACAGATGCCCTTACTTGTATCGAAAGCTCCAGAATCATGGTCATTACCATCAAAATTAGGCTTAGTTATTAATTTGGCATCAATATTACCATTAACAGTTGTTTGTATATCGTTAGTATTCAAATTCAACACAAAACCAATCGAAGTACCAACGAATTATTTCATATTAATCAACGGCATTCTCACTGGCATCGTATTAGCATTTTCTTATAACAAAACGGTATACGTTTTCGGAAAGGAGCGTAGTATTTATTTGTTACTTTTAACATTCTGTACAGCGTGCCTCGATACAACATCGTCTACCACGTTTATTCCATTCCTAAATCGTTATGAGCAGATTTATCTCAATGCCTACTTCACTGGAGAGGCACTAACGGCTTTATTTCCAGCATTACTTGGTATAGCACAAGGTACAGGGAATAGTGAATGTATATCAGTCATATACAATAATTCAGATAATCGAACAATAGCAAAATTTATTGAATATCATCATGAACCACGATTTTCTGTTCAAACATATTTTCTTATTTTATGTTTATTTATATTTGCCGCACTTGTCTCTTTTATTATTTTACGCTCAATTAAAACTGGACGATTACAAACTAGAATCGATCATAAAAAGAAAAAAACATCCAAAAAACAGCAAATATCACCAATATTCGTTATAATAGATAGTAATGTTGATGAATTATCGACTCAGAGGGCCCTAGAAAAAATCATAAAAATTGAAAATAAAAAGATGGAAAAAGGAAAAGAGAAGACAATATGGAATAAATATTGTTATTCACAAACTGGAATAGCTCTGTTTCTTATATTTACTTCTAGTGGCATGCTGTATGGGATGGTACCTGCATTAAACACATTTTCATTGTATCCTTATGGTTTAGTCACATTCCATTATACAATAATTGCTAGTAAATTGATTGAGTAATACTTGAAAAAAATAAATGATTTTTCTTTCTATATCTTTCAAGGTCAATTTCCTTACCCGATAATGTCTTTAATTGGTGCATTTAGTTCAAGAGTATCAATCAATGTCGTCTATATTCTCCACATCATTGGGACGTTGCTATTCATCTATATACTTTTAGTAGCAAAAATGTCACCATGTTCACCCTTTGTCGAAAAATCATATGGTAAAGTGATTATTGTAAGGAATATATTTGATGAACTTCTTGCTGCTGGTTATCGACTTCATCTTTGTTTTAGTTTATGGTATGGTTTACAACACACTTGGTATTATCGTACGAAAGAATTTTACTTGGAAACTATTTTCGTCAAACATTAAAACACAATGGTTTACTATGTTTTGGTATCGCAACACAGTTAGGATCTTTAGCTGGATCAGCAATAGCATTTCTACTTATAAGTACATTTAACGTTTTCAAAGAACGTTACGTTTGTGAGATATATTCTTGTTATTGATATTGTTACTTTTTTCTTGGGTTTTTTGTTGACATCTTAAATATAACTTCACCTTTCTTAAGTGAAACATGAAAATATTTATATACAGGAGTGGTACGACTGAGGATCGTTAGATTGTGATCGTACCTTCTCTGCTTCGAGAAATTTTACTCTGATACTCTCCGACTGTCTGTTCAGGAAATCAAGACCTACTCTTATTCACATTCAAGATATATGTTCTTATTTGAGCTCTCGACTACTTATATGAGTGTTCAGATAAATTCTGTGTCGTTGAGACTTACTTATGGGTAAATTCACTAGGTTAGATAATTCGTTGAATCTGTTTGAGATGTCAAAGTCACCATAATCGAATGGCATAAATAATATCTTGGATATTTTACACAAAAACTAGCGTCATCTATCTACCATCTGTTGAACCAGAAACAGCCAATCTCGAATTTTCTTTCGTTACTACGTGCATGATTCATATTAATATAAAAGGAGATTATGCAATTTTTCCAAAATTAGTAGTCCAAATGGGCTCTTGAGCTTAGTTTTCAACCATCTTGTGACAGTTTTTAATACTAGGGCAGACAAGCGGACTTGTAATCCACCATAAAAAACTGAAATCTACTGTAATCTCTATATGATCTTAAATTTCATACTGTAACCAAAAAACTCGTAATGCCTGTTAAAAGCACTGCCTTGTGGATATGTCACTCGAAAAGAGATCATAAAATAAACAACGTCATATGATCTGAGGGAAAAACTATAATCATCAATTGCGAGTTAGCTTTCAGGGCGAAGTATTATAGCTAACGGTCATGCATGAAAAGCACAAAAGGGTTTCAAACCAAAAGACCTTTTCGATCTTTCTGATTATTGGATGAGACGCAATCCTTTTGTGGTAGAATGTGGCTAGCAGACAAGAACCCGCAAATTTTTGCTAGCAAATAGATAAAAAGATCAGAAATTGTAGTAGAATGTTCAAATTTTTTTCAGAGAGTGCACTACTTTCCTCTGACACTCCTCTCTAGTTACGAGCCATGAATCGTAACTGCAATTGTTTTTATTACTAATTTTTCACATAAAACACTTGTTGTTAGATGTCCACTCATTGGTTTCACCGCAATTTACTCAAAGCAACTGGTGTTGTCCCTTTCGACCATCGAACATCACCCTCATCCACAGATGCTATGCAAATATGCAAGTAAGTACGTACACACATCTTGGAATCCACGTATGGAATGAAAGAAACGAACATTGGTTTCGTTTCAGTCAATTACGTCGATTACGCCAAGACTTATTATCAGCGCTGTGTGACCCATCGTTAGATTCCACTCTTGTACGAGATTTATTCGACCAATATATATCACTTATATTAGGGTTTATTATTTCACCAGATGGCAGTTCAGATGATAGTAAGCTACGTTACACGACAAAATTTTATTACAGTGATTCTTTAACGGGTACTGAAATTATTACGTAAGTAAAACCTCAATTGAATATATCCTTGAAGTATCACCCTATGTTACTTTTTCTTCCTATAGTGATGTACAAGATGCCCAATATGAGCTGTGTTGTATGATGATAAATATGGCTTTATGGTATCAAAAGCACGCCGCTTTCATTGCAGCAAAAAGCACACTGTAAGTAAACTTTTTTCCTTTATCTTTTTACTTAATCTTGAACATTTACTTTAGACCGAATGATAAAGATGCACTGGATATACATAAATCATTAAGAATGTCTGCCGGTATATTCAAGCATGTTTTGGTATGACGGCTGCTTAGTTATCGCTGCTAAACAGTTATGGTTATTTTTTGGTTTGTTGTAGGATGTTGAATTACGAAAACTGACAAATGTCAAACTTCCACCGTGTTCTGACTTAAACGAGAAAATTCTTGGAGCATACTCTTATCAATCACTTGCTGAGTTTCACGAAGGTTTGTCTTATATAACTGCGTACTCTCTTCAGTTTTGTTGAAGGTATCTACATTTTTTAGTCACTGTCGCACGAGCGATGAATTTAAAACAGGATAATGCACTTATATCAAGTATTGCAAATCAGATATCGCAATATTTTGATATTGGAGGTTAGCATGCATTATCTTAAATCTTGGAAAGTTTTATAGCTTTTTGTCTAATTAAGGACAACAACTAACAACTTTCGATGATAAAATCGCCGGTAAATGGAGAATGTATTTTCAATTAAAAGCTAAATTTTATCTTGCTGAGGTAGGTTGCTACTTTACGATTTATTGTTCAAATTTTAAGGTGTTTTTTGCATTTTTTAAGGCTCGTGCTTATCAGGCTCTAAGTTTATTGGATAAAAACGATGGTGGTGCAGCCCTCAAAGCTGTTGAAGAAGCCTTCAAAGGTGAAAATAATTGTTCAATGAGTTTTATTACATTAATTTGTTTCTTTCTTTGGCTACTGTAGTTCAACAACAAGCTAACGCATTTTGTGAAGAGTATGCAAAAAAGAGTGCACTAGGCACTCAAGCTATACCAAAACGGCATCCATTCTTTCTTCAACTCGATTCGATGATTAGACGCATAAAAAGTACAACAGAATTTGAAAATACACTAATGTAAGTACCAAAATTATTCCTGTTTTGCCTTAGTGCTATGTTTTTTCGTTTACAGACACCACAAGAAAATTGCTGATGAATGTCCACCGCTTGAACCAGGCACTCATGGCATCTTACCACCAGAAGAATATGTGATACCAAAACTGAATAGTTTGTTTTCCGCTGATGCTTATCGTGCATTCGATATCGGAAAAAATGCTGGTAAACCGTTAAAAGAAGATAAAAAGGCTCGTGAAGTCAAAGAAATGAAAGAAATACCTATACCACAAGGTCATGCTGATCCGAATCAAGGCGGTTCATGTATAATAGCTTAGTCAAAATATTTATGTACAGTTCAACAGTGATTCCCGCTTTTTTTTCTCTTTTTGTGTCTGCAACTCGAATATTTTTACATAAAAATGGAAGAAGTTCAACTATAAAAGGTTTCACCACTGACACTACCCATGGAAGTTTTTAGTGTGAACAACAAAGGCTACGCCAAATAATTCATTGAATAGATGTTGGCACCTGTTCCATATTTTCTACCACATCTTCAAAAATTAAAAGTTAGAATTTACCTAACTTTACCGTGGGGGTTATGTTGTATAACTAATAACGTTTCTCTTTTCTTGATAAACGGTAACTATTTATCTTACACTTCATTGCACAGAGCATATTCGAAAGCCATTATTTTTTGCTCTTAAACCAAGGGGGAAAATAGACTTTGGACTTTTACGGATTTTAATGAACTTACATGGACTTTTTCAAGTCTAATAAAGTTTGTAAATGCCAGAAAAGTCCGCGTAAGTGATTAGAAGTGTACATAAACCCACATAGATCTATAAAAGCCCTCGTAAATCCCTGGATTCACGTAGATTTTGATGGTTTTTGGAAGTCCGTAACTGAACCTGAGTCTGCTTTTCCTCCCTTATCTTAAACACACTACCAGTTTTCACATTGATCTAGTAAGTTATTACATATTATAGTCTACTAGACAAACACTGAACCCGAAGCTTTATCTGTAATCGCCATTCACGAACTATCAGTCGGGTTCGTCATCGACCGAAGATCCATTTTTCTCACATTTAACTAAAAAATAGTTCAGATCTATGCTAGTAATTAAAGTTTCATGTCTAGTTTCGTATAATAGTTTCAAAGCCCACTTTTCAGTATCTGGCAGTAGTGAATATTGTAATAAAAAAAAACGAGCGATATAAGGAACAAAGAGCAGAAGCTGTCCTTGATTTTTCTTCGAATTATCAATTAACATCATTATGGACACCTCACCAATTTATTCTGCTTAAGAGCAAGGCAATTAAACAAAGATTTTCTAGAGCACCTTAGTGGCATTACTTACTAATGAGATAGGCCAATGATTGGCACATGAGAGCACGTGAGCCGTTCTCGTGCACCGTTCTGACCAAACCTAGCTCTCAGTTTTCCAAAAAGACAATAGTTTCTCTCCATCTCATATCTCCTTAATCTGATGAGCAGGTGTGGTGTATCTGACAGAAAACGTTAAAAAATAGTCGTTTTGGTAAACCGATATCATTATTTTTTACAACGAATTAAAGAATTCTTGCGATCAATTATCTTTTGATGTTATTTATTGCATTGATGCCTATACGACATGTGCATCATTTTTGAATATTATTATTATCGTCATCATCATCATCGAAAAGAAAGAGAAAGGTTTTATTTGTATTCTTAAATCAATAGAACAATACTTAAAATAGCAAGAGAGAAAAAGTTCTTCGATAATATTGGCGTCTATTGACTGTATCAACTGGCATGAATGACTAAAAGTACTAAAATTACTCAAGGATTTATTTGTTAACAATATATTTCATAACTCGTTTAGGATCCGGAAAATATAAGGAATTTTTGTTTTTGATTATTTCTATGATCTTACAATTTCTTCTCATATTCGTTTCACTATATCATGTAAAAAACTTCTTAAAATATGAAATAATAATTACTACTGTATAATTCTACATGTCGTGGTCCTTAAACGATTTTATTATTATACAGTTATATGATGGGAAAAAACATATGTAAGTAACTAAATCAACTCTTTAATTAAATTGGCTATCTTCAATTTATTTTCAATACTCAATTCTACTAAATAAAATATTTTTATAGTTTTAATATTATTGTTTAAATATAATAATGAATTTTTGTGTGTATTGATAATACCGTTAATTTAAATATTTTAATTGTTTAAGAGTAATTAAAACGAGTGATTTAAGTACTCATTTTTATGGCAACATTATTTGAAAGTGATTACCAAGTAGAACCAGACAATCAAGTTTACAGTTCCAAATTGTGGAAATATTTACCAGCAGCATTTAATCAATGAATAGTCATTATATGATTTTTTATTCAACCCTTCCAACACAAACATATCTAGACAACAATTTTTTGACAGTATTAATACATTTAAAAATAGAATAAAAAGTTTTTTTTTAGAAAAGAGACAAACAAAGACATGAGTTGTATTGTACTATTTGTTTTTATTAAAATCAAGTTAATCAAAAAGAAAATGGCAATTAAAGACGATATATAAAAATACAGTTTGTATATGTTAATAAATTCGGATGAATGATTAAATTTCAATAGAATCACGAACTTGTTGGAAATTTTTATAAAATGCCTTAAAGAGAACAACATACAAACAATTTAAAAACTTTTTGTAAAATCATGTAACTTCTTACCTGGAAAAAGATCAAATAATTTTCAAAAACTTTTACCGACGACATTTCTCGAATGGAATGCATCGACAGTTGAGGAGCACCTACATCAATTGTATAAATTCCCAATCGAGAACTGAGAATAGGTCCCACAGTTGTTCCACATGGCATATCATTACGCATACAAAATTCCTAAAAATATAATAGTAATTTATTGTAGGTAAATTGGATATGGCTATTTACTATAGAATTTCAACTAATAAAAAGATTATACTACACTATTTTAGTTCTGAAGCACAGATAGATAACACCTACTGTGAACCTAAATTTTTACTGTGTAAATGGAACTAGTCGCATATTCTTCTAGTTTTTGTCTTAGACTGTAAAACAAATATAAGAGATTTGTTGTTTGGTACATATACGCTTATATGAGCACCTTTTCAAAGTGGAAACCTACTTATTGTGGACAACTATAGATTCGACTAAGTACTTTTTGCCATGTGGTTCCGATTGTCGAAATGGACGTATGACAGTACATATAGAAAGAGAGTGAACTGTGTGCATATTTAAGTCATCACCAGCAACGAAGTTCAGTTTACATGCGCATTCTCATCATGCGTGTGTGTGAATCGAGTGTTCTTTTTTCCTATGGGAAGGTACAAGATGGGTATGATTTTGACTAGAAAAGTCTATTTATTGCAAAAAGTTTCGGTTTATGAAAAAATTAAAAATAGATCACAAAGATCACAAAAATTATTTTAATATACTCTAACAGAAGACGAAGAGGACATATAGACCACGTTTCATTTTTTAGTTTTGAGTTTATTCTGAAGAAACAAGCTAACCGTCAAGATACTTTTCATTCACTTTTTATGCATGAACCGAGGCCCTCCCTGTATACTTAGATTTGTATTGACTAAGAATTTTCGACGCTTATGCGACTCGAAAAACATGATGTATGAAAACTCAGTTACCGACGCATCTTTAACGAAAACGATTATACCTCATATTAGTGTTAATCGAAAATTGATATCTTGAACCGACTGGGACCATAATGCCGATATTTAATTGAAATTTTTTTATAATAAATAGGCTTTCTAGTCAAGATCATCTTATCCTAGCGTTTGGAGTTTGCCTATGGAATGTAAACGTTGTAGACTTCCTATAGAATCATCGAGACGAAGACGAAGAAATTCAGACAAAATTCATCACAGTAGATCGAAGTTTCAGAGATGGTATGATTGACCGCATGTGTCCACCTCAACTCATCAGTCGAAGTTTTATTTATGTGAAATATGTAGTAGACAAAGAAAATAGTAAAAAATAGAAACCTTCCTGGAGCGACCGCCTCCTTTGGAAATAAACAAGTTTCACTGGACCTGCGATTTTGTTCAAAGTTTCGTAGAAAGGTTTGAGTCATAACGTATAGCAAAAACTTCACTTCACTCGTATCTCTACGGCCAGGTATGGTGATTTTAAGCTTCGTACGAAAGTGAATCGCTAGTTTTTTATGTTAAAATGAAGAAATGGAAAACGGTGGAGATCAAGACAGAATTACTATACTGAATATTGCAGAAAGTGGTTAAAATTGTCATAGTTGTCAAACATTACTCCTGTTGGTAGTGTGATAGCCTTTCGTTCATATGCTTATACCAACCTGTAACTGAACATTGTCAATTCGAGCAACCTCTTTTATTATCGTTGATGTAAATGCTGTCGTTGCATATCTATTATTACAATTTGTTTTAATAACAACACCACTATGAGAAAGTGTTGGTTTATGATCCTTATCATGTAGTGAACTGTAATTTGGGTGAATAGCATGAGCCATATCAGCTGAGACTAGAAATGAATTTGCTATTGATTGTTCATGATTATCTCTTGTTATTCGCCGAAGTATATGCTGTGTAAATTCAGACATCGCACCTTGAGCACTTTCACTACCAATCTAAACAAATTTTCCATAATAGAAACATGCAAAAATACACAATATTGATAGTTCTACTAACTTCTTCATTATCGTAGAGTAATGCACCACGAATGTATCTGTCATTTGTTAAACTATCAAGAGATTGAATCAAGCCCTGTAATACAAACTGGTCAGTTTTAGGATAAAGAAACAACTAAGAGTGTCATTAATTACCTGTATAGCACAATATGAACTCATTTGATTATCTAGTCTTGGACAAAAAAGAAATTCATTTTTCAATCCACCCACACACGCCGGTTGAGTATCGGCTAACATAAAATCGAAATTGATTATGTCTTCTGGCTTACATTGACATTCATCACCAATTAATTCTAATAATTCACTATGATGTTTTTTTGACTAAAAAAAAACGAAACCAACTCGAATTTTAAACGAGGCATTACTGATGCGAGATACCACTTACCTCAGAATCTCCATCATTAGTTTTTGTACTGCAGTCTGATTTGTCATTTTCATCTTTTTTCTTATTTAACGCTTCTGTGGCTTTTAATGATAGCACGGCTTGTCTAAACGTCTCACATGCTACAAACTTTTCATTCTAGTAATTTGAACTTACTACTTACAAATGATCTTGTTTATTAATTACAAATTTTTCATTCATATCTCGTTGCAAATGGATGGCTATGTTAGGAATTCGCAAAATTGGACGTTTAACATGAACAAGTTTTGTTACTATTTTATCATTTTTCTAAAAAATAATCACATAAGATAAATATATAATATGGTAGACATTCAGTAACTGATTATAATAGCTTACGCGGAAAAAGACTCTTCCAGCTAGTGTTAAATCACGATCAAACCTAGAAAAATGACACATAGCTATATAGATTATCCAATATTGAGTAAAAATTTTTACCATGTATGCCAAATGCCTCCTCCATAACACTCAACATTCACCTGTAAAAATCCGTTATCTTCACGTTTTGAAACCGGTTTGACCTAATAATCAAGAAGTTCGAACCAACAATAAACGTGACATTTTCGAACAACATGATCGTTGTTTAAGTAAAATTTACTTTAACGTATACATACTCTCAAATGTGGACTATCTGTATGTGTAGCAACCAAAGCAAAACCATTACCATGTTTATATTGTCCACCAACAGCGAATGCTGCTAAACATGAACCATTTTTTGTTACATAATACTAAAAAGAAAAAAAAGAAATATATAAAAACAATTCTTTTTCCAATAGAAACAGTTTACTTTTCCCAGTTGTTGAATATTCCATTGTTCATTTTCATTTAATTCTTTAAATCCGGCAGTTTTTAATATAGTTTTAACATTGTCCACACCTTAAAAGTAAACATATATGAATCAACGAACGTTATTAAAATCTGCATACGTACAATGAAAAGCGGTTGGACTTTGATTTATAAAATCCAAAAATTGGTTAACATTATTCGATATATTACTTGTATTTGACATCTAAAACAAAAAAAGTTAAACAATAGGTCTTTATCCCAAATATTCAAGTTTATCAGCAATAAATGGATATTTCTTTATTTTTCTATCTGACGTTTTTGATCAATTCTTTAAAAAATCCAAAGCAAATATATAATTTTATGTTTGCTTAGTTGTCACTTCACACTCATGTTTTCTCTCATATTTTCGTATTTTGATTGTTACTACACATATTGGAAATATTGTTTATTTGAGATGTGAAAATAATTATTTTTTTCGTTTCGTGCTTAACGGTATTTAAAAAATAATGAATAATATGTATTCTTAAAAAATACCTATTTTGTTATAAGTAAAAAATTTTTGACAGTAGTCTTTATATGTTACATACCATTCTCACGAATATAACTCCAAACCGTTTCGAAATCGACGATGTTAAACTAAACATACGTGATAATATTGAAAAGAGAGAAAGAGAGAGAGGCGTAAACTCCCAATTATAAAATGTAATTTCTAAATGTGTGGTAATGAATGATAACTGTTTCACAAATGAATTTCAAAGCTAATATCCTACAAGAAATTCTTTTATAATCAATTATTTAAATGAAACCCCTATGAAAGATATTTTTTTACAAAGGTATCTAGAGATAGGAATACGCAAAACATTTAGTATAGTTTATACGAATCGAATTAGCCTACAGATGAAAAGAATACTAAAAGAGAATTACATCTCTTTTAAACGATAGCTATGCCATAATTCAACAACATTCATAATTTTTTTATTTAATGAATTTCAAGCAGCCCAATTATCATACTTAGGGCATACCAAAAGTAGTGAGAGTTCCAATTTTTTCTTCCAAAGTAGGCTTTAAGAAATTTTCTTTTTATGTAGTCTGATAGAGAAAAAAAAGCTCTATCTTTTTATGCTATTTGATCATACTTCAACTAATATCATAATAATAAATATTCGATGAGATCTGTTTCGTTTGCATACATGCTGGTTGTATTAATACTAATTGTAAAAAATACGAGTGAGTATTTTTTGAATAAATTTTGTTAGAAACAAAACAGAGAACTGCGGTTTCCACCGTTGGAAAGAGGAGATGAAGACACATCGAATCGTATATTCCAGGATTTCCTGATTTGTTTTTTGTAAGGTTTTCCATTGACTTTTTTAAGAACAAACAAATCTGGTAAGTTATTTACAGTGAATTTTGAATTATCAAGTATAAATTCAAACCATTAACGGAAGATCGACAAAGTACGAAAGGCTGAGATGAATAATATGTGTTCTAGTCGATCCTCTAAAACTATTTCCTAGCGAAATCTATGAAAACCATCACTATTTTTTGCTTTTTCGTTTTTTCATAAAAAAAACTATTTTTGCAACAGTTAGAAAATTGAATAAAAAAACTTAATAAATCATATTATAAAAACCTATAACATACTGTTCGATGCGTCTTTATCTACTCTTTCCAGTAGTGAAAACCGCAGTTCTCTATTTTGTTCCTATCAAAAGTTATTCAAAAAATACTCAACAGTATTCATATAAAAAGCACGTATGCAAACGAAACAGATCTTATTGAATATTTATTATTATGATATTAGTTGAAGTATGATCAAATAGCATAGAAAAATAGAGCATTCTTTTCTCTATCAAACTATATAGAAAGAAAGGTACTTAAAGCTTATCATAAGGTATTAAGGTATCACTCTACGAACTTCTGGTATGCCCTAAGTACATTACGGCCTGTCCAAACGTATCAGCCCAAAAACGTAAGTCCGTAACGTTTTGTGAAATTCATAGCTCTTCAGCGGAGCGATGTACAGAGTTGAGGAACGTCTTATTTTGTAGCTTAAAGATTTTTCTTTCAAATGGTAACTAAGCAAAGTCTAGCTCTAATCTAAACATCTGCCTATAATTCGAATCAATAAAACCCTTTTGTACGGAAGTGGCGTATGCCAAAAACTTCGTTTTTAGTAGCATTGAAGAGATACTTTGCTTAATTACCATTTGAAAGAAAAATTTTGAACCTACAAAATAAGACGTTCCTCAACTCTGTACGTTGCTCGGTTGAAGAGCTATAATTTCACAGAACGCTACGAATTTCTAGCAATGCCATTATAGTAATCCAATATCAAAATACGTTATCTCTTCCCATATTGATGAATAGTTAAAAGCACGAAAAATAACTGATCTTAATGTATAGAGTTAGCTGTTATATTTTAGACTAAATTACACCACAAATGATTCCATTCAAGTTCAGTCAATTCCCACATCCTTCTAATAACGTTACACAATTATGACTAACGTCAGTTATGAATACTTAAAGAATTCTAGTTCATCTGATAATTTTCTTTAAAAACTGGAAAAATTTTTACCGATAAAAGTCGTTTTTATTCAACAAAACTATACATAGAAAACATGAGAATCTGTTCACATACCACAGTCAGCTTGTGACAAAAATAAAAATGTTTATATATATGCATATCCACAGTCACTCATTATCAGTTCGCTTAGCTTGTTTACATCCACAGATGAATTAAATTACACAATATAAACTCCAAGAAACTAAAAAACAAAAGAACGTTTCAGCTTTGATCCCGTTTAGTAACAACTATAAGACATTTTTAATCCAAAAACAGAATAGATGGTCATACATCCATCGTAGAAGAAAAATGACCGATAATTGTAGTACATTTGTGTGTAGTTCAGATAATAAAAAAAATATGCAATAACATTGAGAGAACACACTCACATGAGTAGAAAATGTTACGCATATTTAAAAGAGAAAACAAAACAAATTACTGTTCTAAAAAACGAAGCAATAACAACGTAAAAGTAAATAAAACAAAAAAAAATAACATTAACAATTCGAATTTTGGCATTATACATAATCACAATGGCGCACAGCACTCTCTTTCTCTCTCTCTCTCTCTCTCTCACTCTTCACATTTAATCTTACACGAAAATATCAATGTTGAGCATGCACAAGCAAGGGACGATAGTTGACATATTCTAAACATTTTATCGAAATAGAGAGCGTTCAATTAGCACCGTTTTAATGGCAAATATTAAAGATAAATTCAATAAAAAATTGGAGTCCATTCCCATTGTTGAGAACCGTTTTTCTCATCACACGAGGCCAATTTTAAATCTTTACCATCCGTTTCCATACAGAGTTTTTCTTTATTACTTCGAATGTGTTTCGTATGCTAGATAAAATAAAATAAAAATTATTTTCAAATAAGTTTATAGTGAATTACATACATTTTCATAGGACCATTCGCCAATCGGATTCCATTTTCCTTTATGATCAAGACAAAATTTCTTTTTAACAATTTCGTGATCAGAAATGAAACAATGTTCGCCAGCTGATAATTCACCTAGAAAACGGAGAAAAACATTTAGAGTCTGATTGTAATATTTCTGTTTGGTTGACATATTCGATTATATTTGTATTTCAAGAGAATGATTTATGAGTTGGATAATTCTTGTTACCTTAACAACTAAAAGAATATATCAGACGAAACAGAAACTAAACACTCAGTTAGTTTTATGAAATTTTAGATCTTCAGCTTTTATAGATGGTGTTGCTAACAGATTATCATCATTTTGATAAAATCATAAAATAGATAGATTACCTTCTTCATTCAAACGAAAAACCATCTAAAGAGAAAAGAAAAATAATTATTGCAGCTAACAAAAAAAGCTCATCGTTAATGTAGAGCACCGATGCAAACGACAAACATTATTGTTAATCGTACACTCAACTGTGTCAACACACATACACACTAGCCTGCACTAAGAAAAGAATTAGTTTCTGAGATGAAGTAATTCTATCAACTATGAATAGTAAAACGTGAACATTAAATTGCAAATTTTCTATCTTTTATTTACGAATCTTTGCTGTTCTGGATCAAATATTCTTCGTAACAATCCCTATAAGAGTATGATAATAAGGAAAGATTAAAATAAAATGTTTTCCTTTTTTTAGAAAACAGGAAATAGTTCTAAATTCGTAGAAAAAAACTCAATCCAAAACAACAAATAAAATCTAACTACATATATCTGGCATAAAAGCCTCATTAAATTTCGCAAATAAAAGAGCAAACCATACAAAGTGTTTGATAGCAAAAGATTTCCTTACCTGTTTATAGCACTGTCCTACGCCAATTGGTTGTCCAAATGCAGCTCCACGATCATCCAAACAAACGGAATTATGCGCGTTTTTACACTAAATGGCAAAAACAAATTGAATTGATTTTTGCATCATATTTGTCAAGTATTACTCACTTGACCCCACACTTTATTTTTTGGGGGGGCAGGAAACTTTTGTAAAACATCATATGCAATTGTATCTAAAAACCATTTGAATGATTTGCATTTTAATTTTTTACGCAATTGTTTTCGTTCTGATATGTCTCCTAGAAAAAAACATTATAAAAATTTTATTTAATCAATTAATGGTCTTCTCTCCCTACCAATTTCTAAATTATGTATTGCCGGTTCACGAATATAATAATATTCTTTAAATTCATCCATCCAAACTTCTGCAAGTCTCATGTGATTCTAACAATAAGAGTTGATTTCAGAATAATAACATTATAATAGCGTAAAAAAACAATAATTACTCACAATTGATGTTTGATGGGCACTTGTTCCTGGTACATAAGATGAATGAGAACGAGGACCACGATAAGCGTGCGCGATGTGTGAGCAAGGAACCCATTCTACGACACCTCCACATTGCCAAACCTGTTAGAAAATGAAAATTGTAACGCTAAAGTTATTTCCTGTAGAAACAACTGTCTACGTACTTTAAAACTTAATTCATACTGTTCAGCTCCCCAGACCTATTTTATAAATCGATAAAATTGCCATGATTTTATCTTTAAAAAAACACACATTTTCATACCTTAATTCCAGGATCTAAACAAATAGAAATTATGTTGTCATTTAGTTGTATGTAAACTTTTTATGCAATTTATCTTACCGTAAGCACCCAGTTCAAAGAACCATTGTCGATCAATTGCCAGTAATCCTCCGGCATGTGTTGGTGACCTTTTTGAAATAACCATTTTTTAAATTAAACATGAAAGTCAATAGAGTTGAGCGTTACCAATAGGGTTCCGAGTTGTATTTTCGTTTTTTTAACTCTTGTTCAGGTACTTCTGTTTCTTTGTATAAAAAGCCCCATTCCCATATACCACGAAAATTTGTTGATCCATATATATTGACATGTTCAAGGGTCTTCCATTCAAGACCTATGCAAGAAAAAGATATATAATATCACTTTATATTCTTTAATGATCGAATATTTAAATACCATCAACTATTGGAACAGCCAGCGCTTTCGGATTTAACGCAACACGTGTGAGCAAAGGGGGCAGCCAGTTTGATACACATTCACAATGTGCATCTAGTATGACAATAACGTCTCCAGTTGATTTTTTCGCTCCAAGGGTTCGAGCTTCAATCAATCCGACACGTTGTCCAGTTCTATATAATTTCACTAGACCGTTCCAGCGTTTAATGTAATCAACCAGTTTATCTTGGAGCTCAGCTATGTAAAAGAGAAAAAGTGTTATGAAAAAAGTAAATATTTAGACAAAATTGAAACACATTTCTAAACAATTTACCGTCTCCACTTCCATCATCAATTAACACAATATCTTTGAGTAATTCTGGTGGAGAGGTGTTGATGACACTGTGCACCGTTCTTAACAGTACACTCCATCCTTCATCATAGAAAACAAGAATCACAGATGCTGTTGGTAATTTATCGACTGATGGATATTGCCAATTTTTACATCTGGTAAGATAAAATAAGAAATGTGTTTTTCAAAGCTAGATATTTGTTTATCAGACATACTCTGCTGGTCTGGTGTCTTTAATTCTTCTATCGAGTGATATTTTATCTGATGCAACCATATTAAATCCATATCTTGCAATAGTTTGCTGTGCTTTACGGTCTTCATCAGCGTCGAGCGTTATCCCAGCTCCATTTTCTCCAGGTCCCGTTCTTTTCAAGTCATTGACTGGCTCATAATTTCCTAATTTATCTGCCGTCATCACCGGTTCGAGATCTGTTGTTATCGTTCGATTTCCGTCTATTTTTTTTTCTTTTCTTCTCGAATGTGCTACATGTAACGAGTCAGTTTCCTGTAAAGAAGAAACATATGTATCTTGAATTTATGATGTAAATAAACGTTCATTACCTGAGGATAGTCTTCATCTACTTTAACTACTGTTCGTTGATTAAAAGAATCCAGTTTTGATAGAAGAACAGGTAACATTAATATCAACAAGCCCAAACCAATAACGAGCCGCAATACGCGGCTAAAACAATATTTCATAGCTTTCTATCTAAAATAAATGGCATATAGGTAAAAATGAAAAGATACGCAGGATTCTCATCCTTGTACTTCGCTTATAGATATAAAAAAATATTTTTTACTTTCTTTTTGTATCTCATTTGTTTTCGACCCTTGTAAATTTTGGAGTCATATTACAAAAGCTTTCTTCTTTTCATTCTTCGCCTGTCCACATTCTTTTTTGCTCCACTCAAAATGTTTCAACATATGCAGATGAAGCCGAGCTCTTGAATTCTCATTTTCCTCCGTGCTATTCCTCCCGTCAGAGTCAAGGTCCTCCCTCACTGCTACAAAGTTATCGGCCATAGATAAGCTTAATCTCCACTAAGAGATGAACTATGATCGCGAAAACTGGATACTATTGTGAAAAACTATTGTCGATGAGGATGGAATTTCATGTCTTTCTATTGATATTATATCACCTGAAACTCACTTTGCTTTTCATATTAGTCTTTCTACTAGCGACTTTCCAGCTTTGTGGAAAGTTGCGTTTATTTTACCTATTTACAGAAAAAGAGTTGATGTCTCAAATTATTATCCTATTTCTTTTCGTGCTATTAGCAAAATTTTTAAACCCTCATTTTTTCGATTTTATTTTTCAGTATTTCTCTAAATACTTTTCTTTGTGCATACTCAACTGCGTGTTTCCATACTAAACGTTAAACTCCTAATGCTCTGTTATTTTTTTCTTTGACTGTTTTTAATTTTTGAAATTATGGTATAAAATTTGTGAATGTATCGTTTGATTTCTCTAAAGCTTTTGACTCTATCTCTCACTCTTTTTTCTTGGAAAAGTTGTCTCGTTTTGGTATAAGTTGCCCATTATTTTCTGTTATTACTTTTCAGTATGTTTACACGAATGATTCTATTGCTTCTTCTTTCTTTCTTCCTTCTGACGTTCTGTAGAACAGCGTTCTGAAAGCCCTTCTCTTCATTGTATTTATTAATGATCTTCCTTTGTCCATGCCTCCTAATGGTCTATTTAGAAAATTGTCTATTTGATGATGATTTTCTTCTAATTGTTTATCTCTCGGGTCTCTGTTTCTGATTCTTTTACTTTTTTCTCATGTTCAAAATTGTATCAACTCTATTTGTTCAATCTAACCGTATCTTTGACTACGCACCTCCTGAGACCTTTCTTTCTAGCATTTTTTTCAAACTTGAGTACTGTTGTACGTTGCATGACAGTTTTTTCTCGTATTCTAATTCTGCTCTATAAACAAACTTTTTACTCGTGGTATTTCAGATTAATTTCACTATCTTGCTTTTTCTACGTAAAATTTATTATTGTTTCTATTTTTTATCCAATTCACCATTTTTACTCTTCCTTTCGTTGTCGTCATTCAAAAATACGTTTGTATTCTACCTCTTGTAAACGTTTTTTTATTCGTTTTTTCTACGCATCTGTCGCCCACTGCAATAAACTTCCAGGATCAGTTGTCTTTTTTCTTCCTCTTCGCTCAAAACAGCATTGCCAAATTGTTATTGTTGTTGTTTCTTTTATATATTTTATTTACATTTGTTCTTTTTTATTCGCTTTATATCTATTCACTGTATCTCTTGTTTTTCTTATTTTGATTACTATTTATAGCTTCAACTTTTACTGTTTGGATTGAGTAACTGTTATTATAGGTCAGGGGGTCATTCGAGGTCTGTGGGACAGTCCCAGTCCCGGTCCCGCGGGACTTTTTACGAGACCGGGACCAAGTTTTTTTGAAAATAGTCTTGTATGAAGTATAAAAATTTCTTAGTTTCTATGCCTGTTTGTATGTAGGCAGTAGTTCTGTGAGAAAGAATTCACACATAATTCGAAAAGTCCTCAGTTAATAATCTCATCCCATGATGCTATTTTCCAGATTAGCTTGAATTAGTGTCGCGCTGACACAGTTTGTTCAAAGTTCAAATTTTTGTAAATACAGCTAAAGCTATAAGTTTCTTCTAGCTTAAACAATAGAAAAGGAAAAATGTCTACTGTTGAAAGTTCATAGTTGAATACTATTCATTTTTATCTATCAAAAAAGGTCATCATCAAGTGTTGCAGTTGTTGTCATTTCATCGTTATCACTATCATTATCTTTTTGCTTGTTATTATCATCATCCTGCTCTTCATATTTTTGTTTTTTTGTTAATGTTTCTGAACTTGTGTCTGCAGTAGTATTACATAAATTTTTGTAATTTACAACGCGCTGACTTTCAAACTACGGGCGCCACTTTGAAAAAATATTTACGGGACCACTGGACCGGGACCAAAAATGAGTTCTTTCCACGGGACCAGGACCAAGATTTTTTTTCTTCATGGAACCGGGACCAAAAACGTTTGGTCCCGCAGACCTCTAGGGGTCATATCGTGAAAAAACTTTAAGTCTAGACTTTGACTTAAGGTTTTTCGTGATACGATCCCCAGAGGCCTTAATTGACTCTCACTTTTGGTGAATAAATCGTTGTTTGTCGTCCTCTTTTTTATTTACCGTGATAACCGTAGATCTTCTAGAATCGATTATCTGCACCTCACTTCTATTTGTTGTTTAATTAAGCTTTGCCTAAACTACCCCTTCTCACAAAATAAGTCATGCTTCAAATATTTCGCGTCATTGTTTCTCTATTTTTATTTATTTTTTTAGTGTTTTCTTCTCCTATGTTTATACATCCTTTCTGTTATTTGTTTACTTATTGTTTTAACTTACATCTAGCTGTTTATACCTCTTATTTTTTTGTTTCTTTTCTTGGTGGACTATTATTTTAAAGATCGGGTGATGACCTCACACTTTACATGAATAAACATTATTATTATAACTATCCCTCAAGAGCAGACATGTGTGGTAACGGTAAAAACGTGTTACCGTTACCGACGCTTCGGTAACAACTTCAAATTTTTACCGTGGTAATTCGAAACCGGTAAAAAATCACAAAATTTTACCGTGGTAACTTCGGTAAAAAAATCCTTTACCGTTATCGACGGTAAATTACCCTTACCGCTCATGCCTACTCAAGAGTAATTATGTTTTCGTGCACAATACTTTCTAAGACAATCTTTATTTTCATGAATGACTGCAGTCCCATACAAATTCCGTTCACGTGCTATTCTAAACTTTCGATTAGCGAACAAAGGGTCATTCACAAAAACTGTTTCGAGTTACGTGTGTATGACGCTCCTTAGGCATGGCACATACGAAGTGCAGAAAAATTATATTTTTCATTCCGTCCACAGCTTCTGTTTATAGTCATTAAGTTCGCACACAAAATCAAAAGAAAAGGCGTTTCCGTGGAGAATGCCTTCCTTATAAGTGAGTTAACATCAATTCAAACTCAGTTCGACTTTTCGTTTCTTCCTCTCTGCTATGTACCCTATACAAATAAACAATAAAAATCAATTTTATTTTAAGTAGCTTATAAATTCTATATCATCTAATTTTTCTTTTTTCTTTCTTCTGCGACTAGTGGTTAGTTCAGTGGTCGAATCGTAATTACAATAATTAATATGTTTATGCACTCTTACATCTAGATACCTTCAACATCAAACTAAACCGATTCTTTTCGAATAAATCCGCTAAATGAGGAAAAACCATAGTGCTGAAATATATTACAGATCGCAGTGACAACCAGCTACTTTTCAATTCGCTTGATGGTACTAACCAGTTGATATTTTTTCCTCAACATTTTCTTTTGCAACGAGAATTATTTAATTAACATCTGCACTCGCTCGGTCCCTTGCCTTGACTTTAGGACTTATATCCATGAACGACCTTTCATGACCTTAAATCGAAGATAAAGCACACACCTCCCTTCGGTCGGTGTTCGCTAGGGGACTAACTAAAATATATGAATTTTTCTTCGATTTGACGTCTGAGCCTCATAATCTAATGTAAATCTGAAAGGTTTTCTCAAGACCCTTTAAAGATTCCTAGAGATGTAAAAATATTGCTGAAGTCAAGTCAGTTTTATTCACGAAAGGTGAGAGTCATCAAAGGTCACTGACCTGTAATAAATGACACAAGCCAAACAACACCAAAAGAGTAATAAAAAAGAACAAAATAAATAAGACAACTAAGGTTAGAATCAGAAGTAGTAAAAAAAGAATAAATTTTTGAAAAAAAATAAAAAAAGTAGGCAAAAAAGAATAAATATAAATTCTTAACTGATAAATGTTTCACTGGAAGAGATACTGACATAAAGTTGAGAATAACCATCGACAGAAGATGGAATACGAACGTATTTAAAATGATGAAGACGTAAAGATGAGTAGTGAGGACGATGAATAGTATAAACAAGAGAAACAGGACTTAGGCGATGATGAATTTTGAAAAACTGTATAAGTCTAATTTGCATGCATCATTTTTCGCCGGCCAAACTAAAAAAGGCAATACTGTGCAAAATGAGAGAGCACATGAACCATGTTACCTTGGAATTTTGTGTAGAATATAGTCTAGACGATCTGCTGGTCACCTAACAAGTTTATGATTCGTTCGGCTGGATGATTCTATGAGCTACAATGATTTAATTTCTTTTTTAGCAGAATGCTAAGAACTCATGATCCAAGCAAGATGTTCACTTATCGAAATGTAGCCACGACTCCTTTTGTTTATTTGTGGTATAAATTTAAAGTATTGCTGGAAAACAGTTGTTCCTTGTTAGTAGTAAAGGTACGAGGCAATAATACGCCCAGAGATGTCGTCACTATTTTGAACAAGCAAGCACAAAAAAATAAACACAAAATGGCAAAGTTGTTAGTTCGGATATCCCTTCACTTCGAAACTCTACGAAATTTGAGCGTTTTGAAAAAGGATCATATATTACATTGCTCGTCAAAGTTAGGACTATTATTTTATGCAAGAATATCCAGTTTTGATTCTATTAAGATTCGAAGTGCTTTTAAAATGAAAAATCTTCAGTTTTGTAGATAGTTTTCTGGACTTTCAAATAATGTATAATAATATGTGGACTCATTATTCTGTTTTAATGCAATTCCCACGGCTTTTTCCCATATGCCGTGGTGTTCGAGAAATCATACATGTTCTTATTTATGGATTACATTTTTAACCTTTAAATAGAGATGTTAGTGTTCTAACTTCGACATTCGATCCTAGCAATGTAAACTATAGTATTTTACAGCTGACATAATGGGAGTACTATGATGGATGAAGTTTTATACTAAAACTATTTTGTTTAATTTAACCAACTAGGAGAGCATTGCCGAATTGGGTATAAACCCGTAGTTCGGCTTCGCTACGAGTAAAAAGAAATAATGAACGAAAAATAAGAAAAACTGCTTATGTTTGTTGTACATAAAATGAGAGTAAGAAAAAGAAAAACAAAGGTAGAGCGTCAAACACGGACGAAGCCATTTTGTTTTGACTGTATCTCGTACTATAATTGAAACATATTGTAAAATATTTCTGTATTTCTCAAAAAGCAAAATATGGCACAAAACTCGATTAGAAAACTCTAAGTAATAACGGAGAAAGTAAGCGAGGATCCTGTGCAAAAACTTTTGCTTCACCGTTTTATATCTGTATTTGATTTATCTTCTGAACAAATGATCTTTCGATTTTGCTCTGTATGATTTTCACACAGATAGACAAATAAGTGTTTAGCCGACTTGATTTGTTACTATTATTTGGAAGTAAAAAACAAATGAGGAGTCACAAGTTCATTGATTCGGTGTTTGCTCATTTATGAATATAATCTATGATATACATAGAAGAAAACTAAGTCATGTCACTATGGAACTATTTTTTTTTTATAATTTGTTCTATTTTTTTGTCAAGTAGTTAAACAACTGTAGTTAATGAGAACAGTTCGTGTGTTCATAGCTATAGCTAGGTTACTTACGAACAGTAGAATTTGCAAGACGATATGAACAGAATGATTTTCTTGTCAAAGCATCTATTTTTGTTACTTCGAAAATATGCCTCGCTTTTTCAGCATTTGAGACTGACCTGCCTCTATGCCAAGAAATTGCTTTATCTACTCTCTTCTCAAAGAAAAATCAATACTTCATCTTTCTTTAACAAGATCAACACTTATTTACTTCACCTATCAACATTCCTATTTCATAGAAAATAAGAAAAAAAAGAATTAGTTCGTGATAGGGTTCGATCACACCATCTTTTCGCTATCTTGAATTTTGCAAAGAGAAAAAGTTTCTGATTATACTAAAGCCGGCAGTAAATTATCAGTTGACTCATTAACACATACACAAACAAGCTTGCATGCACTAACGCGTTTACAAACGAACGATGTAACATGATGTAAGAAAGATGATGTAACTATTTTTGAAGACTCTTTTGTTTTAGATATAAATATAGAGAGGAGTGGTGAAATTTCAACAATATTTTTTGTGTGCTTAAAGAAACGTTTCTCTTCTAGATCTTTTTTCTGTTACTACACAATGACGCAGTCCGAGCTCACATTAAGCACATCTGACATTGGTATGCATAATTGTTTTTTTTCTTAGTTTTCTTTCATGCACACTTCCGTTTCCCTGGTGGATCTAGCCATTCGTACCTTTCGCTCAGAAAAATGACTTTTTGCCTACACAGAACTACCTCTCAAAATATTGTATTTGGATGGCGACCACACATATCTCATACCCTACTTATCTCATGTGCTTAAGAAAAACTCTGAATCTGTCACTGTTGCATTTTGTTGTTTCAGCTGTCGTACTAACTCTCCGTGCACTAGGCAACGATTTACCATTACAAGTCAGAAATGGAGATGAGACACGATTACAACTTGACAGGTTAGTTAACACTCTTTTCTTCGTATTCTCATTGTATTAATTTTTAATTTCTGTCTAGTGTTTCTTTGACATCTCGTTCGGCGATATGTCGATATTTAGCACGAAAATTTAATCAGTTGTACGGTACAACAATTCTTCAGCAAAGCGAAGTATGCTTGAAGCTCAAAATTATCTTTTTATGGATGTTACGTTGATTCTGTTGTTTAGATTGATCATTGGATCGACTTTAGTGATGAACGTTTATCATGTGACTGTAATAAAACATTTCAAACAGCTATTGATTATTTAAATTCAATTTTATCATCTGTTACATATCTTGTTGGTTACAACATAACATTAGCTGATATTTTTGTATGGTGTGCACTATACAGTAAGTAAACAAAACATGTAAGGTGCAGACAATTAAATGTTTGAATTTATTTATTCAGCTAATCCGTTATATCAAAAACAATCAAATATTCCAGCGAATGTTCAACGTTATTATGATACACTTAGAAGGCAAATACCCTTTTCATCATTACTCGATAAAGAAGGCAGACAAGACAAGGTAAAAAAACCACTTATAAGTGGAAACGCTAGTAAAAAGAACAGTTACTGTTTGACTTAAAAAAGTGAATATGTAACTGATTAAGTGAAAAGATAACTTTAGCAGTTGCGAAAAGATATAGAATGTGTCGTTTTTTGAAATGTAATCTCATGTACGAACTGTTCTCTACGCATGATAACCACTTTGACTAAAGTTACACTATTTTTCTAAATGAAAGTCAGTCCTTATTACTATTTTATCCTGTTTGATAGAACCTTATGGGCTAATTATGGTCAGGTCATCAAAGTTTCGTCGTATTTCAAGCATAGTTTGCTCAATTTTCACTGGGAAAATCAGTATTTAACAGTGTTAGGTAGATCTGAGTGTTTCCTATAAAATGGTGTCAAAAAATTTCAGAAGTTCATTAGTGTTAATGAATGCTAAAGATTTTTATGCGGGCACTTATTTTTAAAAAGGTCACGCAGTGTAATTATGGTCAGTCCGTATAATTTACACGGAAAAGTCAGAGCTTAAATACCATCGGCTTACAGAGACCGATTTCACAACAAAATAAAATGGATAGATCGTAGAGGAGCTTGTTCTTTATCACATGAAGTGAAAACTAGAACAAAAAAAACGCATGGTGTCAACAACTTGTAGCAACTGGATGAATTTTGCAGAATTCTAGCACAGTTTTTACCTGATTTTTGACAGTCTGGTTGGTATCTTTTCATCTAATTATTGTGTAACTAAAGAAGTGTTAAGCTTTTCATAGTCTGTAAGTGCTTCTCTATCTCTTGAGTAAAAAAATGTTAAAACATAATTTCTTACCTTAATAACGCAACATTGATTTGAATGAGCTCACGGTATTGGCATGAACATATGTTCGAATTTTTGCACTGCATCTCCTTCAGCTCTTACATTTGTTCCCATTTACCGTCAGCTTCATGCAATCACTCTCATCCTTATCCTACTTCTGTGTCAGTTAATGATTATATTTATCCTGTTCCCAATGCCGAAATATACATGTGTACGTCAACGTCAAAACTCTGGCGTTAAGCAAGCCCTGCAAGCATATTTTATGCATGGTATACACGGTATGAGACTAGAAGATTGATAGTGACATTTAAAATAATTTGGAAATTCAGTAGGTATTGGATTAGTATGGCGATCAGATGATGATGGATTATATGATGGATTAGCATTGGGAACAAATCTGTGTAACTCATCTTTGTGAATTATCAGCCCTGTTTTTCCCCACATGTATTGATCATATTGTAATATCTAGACTCTCAGAACGCCCATTTTATTTCTCGTTATAAAGTGTCTCTTTTTGGCTTTTCAAATGCTCTTATTAGTGGTTGTTTTAAATTTCGTGTTTCATGTTTTGCGTGTATAATCAAGAGAACACGGAATAAGTTGAGAAGTAATTAAGTAGAAAACTATTTCAGTTATAAGTGGGAATACATCCATAAGTGGCTTTTCCTTCTTGAGATAGAATCATACGGTAGAAAGCAAAGATATAAGAATAGAACTCTCATGTTTGTGGAGTACTCATTTATTATCGTTACTGCAATAAAACAAATTATAAAGTCTTTTTTTCTGATAATTTAAAAGCTAGACAGATTATTTCAATAACAAATTATTATTTTTTTAGACGGTACCATACAAAATGAAAGAAGAAGGAAAATTTGTGGATTTACCTGATGCAAAAATGGGTGAAGTTGTTGTTCGATTTCCTCCGGAAGCAAGCGGGTAACTTATCATTAGGTATTCCATTATTATAATCACATCGATTTTAATTGTTTTAGCTATTTACATATTGGCCATGCTAAAGCTGCGTTACTCAATCAATACTATCAACAACTATTTCAAGGTGTATTAATAATGCGTTTTGATGATACCAATCCAGCAAAAGAAAATGCCGAATTTGAAAAAGTATAAAAAATAAAATTTCACATTTTATTGAATTTTGGATGAGTGCTTCTATTCAGGTTATATTAGAAGATTTAGAAATGCTTGGTGTAAAATATGATCGCTTCTCTCATACATCGGATCATTTTGATGCATTAATGGATTATTGTAAGCAGCTAATTAACAAAGGTATGAATTGTTTGCTTTTGTCCGTATAGTTTCGCTGACTAGATTTCTTTTTCATGTAGGACTCGCTTATTGTGATGATACCGATGCAGAAGAAATGAAAAAGCAACGTGAACAAAGACAAAATTCTGTTAATCGAAATAATAGTAAGCTGTTAGAAACGCAATAAGGTTTGAAAGTTGTTGATATAAATTTGATTTTTTTTTGAAAGGTGTTGAAACAAATTTAAAACATTGGGATGAAATGATCAAGGGCACTGAATATGGACAAAAATTTTGTGTTCGATTAAAAATTGATATGGATTTGAATAATGGTTGCATGAGAGATCCAACAATTTATCGTTGTAAACCAGAAGAACATGTTCGAACGGGAAACAAATATAAGTATGTATTATTATCAAATTTTCTTTTTGTTATTCATAATAATTTGTGTATTTTTAGAGTTTATCCAACGTATGATTTTGCTTGTCCAATTGTTGACTGTTTAGAAGGAGGTATGACAAAGTAGAAAAGTAAATTTTAATTAATATATAATGAACTTTTATTTATATTCACTAGTTACACATGCATTACGTACGACAGAGTACCATGATCGTGATGAACAGTATTATTGGATATTAGATGCACTTGGTAGGTACTGTAAGCCAGATCTGTTAAACATTTTTTAGTTCATAAGAGAAAATCAATATTTTAATTATTTTCGATCTTTTGTTATATTAGGTTTGCGTAAACCACATATTTATGAATATTCACGTTTAAATATGCAGCATACTGTATTATCGAAACGTAAATTAACGTGGTTTGTCAATAATGGACTTGTTACTGGTTGGGATGATCCTCGTTTTCCAACTGTACGTGGTATATTAAGACATGGTATGACAGTTGATGGTTTAAAACAATTCATTATAACCCAAGGTTCATCACGCTCTGTTGTATTAATGGACTGGGATAAAATTTGGGCGATTAATAAAAAATTTATTGATCCAGTGGCACCACGCTACACAGCATTAATAAAAAAAGATGTTATTGATGTTAAAGTGACAAATATTAAAGATGAAGAATGCCAGCAATATCCAAAACATCCTAAAGTAACGTTTTGTCATATTGTAAAAGGTGATAAAAGCAATTTATTGTTTTTATTTCGTAACAGAATGCAAGCATAGGAAATAGAAACATTTACTACAGTCAGAATATTTTGATTGAACGAGATGATGCAGTATTATTGAGCCAAGATGAAATTGTTACATTTATCAATTGGGGAAATTTGAAAATTATAAAAATTAACAAGTAAAGAGTGTTGTTTCTTTTTTTTTACTTAGCTAATAAAAATTATAACTTTAAATTTTGCAGAAACAAGACTGGTGCACTTGAATCTATTGAAGCCGAAACACAGTTAGAGAATAAAGATTATAAGAAGACAACAAAACTAACGTGGCTAGCTAAGACAAGTCAAGCTAGTTTTACTCCAACAATATGTGTTCATTTTGATAATATCATGACAAAACCATCATTAGAAAAAGACGATAAAGTTGAAGATTTTGTCAATCATTCATCGCAAGTAAGTAATCAGTATTTCTTCCGCTTAAGAATTTATAGTTCTCATAATGAATGTTTGTCACTTCTAGAGTGAATATGAAATGATTGGTGATCATGATTTAGCTAATTTAAAAAAAGGCGAATATATTCAAATTTTACGCAAAGGTTATTACATCTGTGATCAACCATATGAATCTCAGCAAAAACCATGTATTTTATACAATATACCTGATGGAGCGAAAGACAAGCCAACATCTTTGAAATGTGCAGCAACATCGGAGACGTCAACAAATTCGACTGCAAATGCATCGTCTGCTAAAACCAGTGGCGAGGATTCTTCGAAAACTACAAACTCCAAAACTAAAAAGACAACAACAACAACAAACTCAGAAAAACAACAACAAGCTCAGAATCAGGATACGAATAAATCAGTCGAACAAAAATCGTTAACAACAACGACAGTTGCCAATGACAACGTCGAAAAATTAACTGAACAAATAACTACACAAGGAAATAAAGTTCGTGATTTAAAGACGAGTAAAGCTGCCAAAGTAAGTTGTTTTACGGCTTTTTTGTATTAACGTGGCCATTGTTTGTGACAATCAGGGATTCCAGATCTTCGGATTTTGGCAGAAAAATTCTGATTTTTGGAACTTTTTCTACTCCGTTTCTGCTCTTCTTTGTCCAAAGGCCTACTGATTTTCTGATTTTCTTGTTTTGGATCTGATATCCCTGGTGGCAGTAGTTGTTTATTGAGATCAAGAGATATATCCTTTAACGACACTATATGCGATCAGTAGTATCATGAGTGTTTAACTCTACGACAGCGAAATGCAGCGTCTATTTCTCACACAGACTCGGTTGTAAACACTTTTATTACAAATGTTTAGCTTAATCGTCTGTGTTCTAATTTCTGAATAAGAATGATTCACTATAACGTAGATGTCACTACTGTTAAGGTTTATTATTATTCGTCGTTGCGAAGGTAAATATATAATAGATCGAATAGAGAAATAGGGAATCATTAATCCATTTACTGACGTTACAAATATTTAACGCTAGACAACCAGCTATTACATATAAGCTACATTTGAGGTTTGATTGATCCTTGTAATTTTTGATTATAACCAATAGTAGTGCGTCTTACGCATAGTATAAGAATAGTAGTAACACATGGACATTGATATTACATCAGCAAGGATTCAGATACACACTATGATTTCGCCTTGATACTAAAGTTTTGCACTTTGCCTATTTTAACTGTTATAGCAAGACTGATGCATCACTGTGGAAGGAGAGGTTAAGCATACGTTTCCTTTTTCCAAATATTATTGTTACCAATAAAATTTGGAACAGTTTTCTTTGCAAGAACTATCCACAGTCAGTAAATGAAAGACAGCACTTACAAAAAATGTTTCTAGATAAGAAAATGGCCTCAGCCGGAAATAATAGTGAAGCTGATACTTTAAAAACTAGAATTGATGAACAAGGTGACAGTGTAAGAAAATTGAAAAGCGATAAAGCTAGTAAGGTAACGTCATAGTATCTATATCTTTCACTTCGCAAGAATAGGTGACGAATTGGTAAAGTTTTCGATCGTTCTCGAACTTATTTTTCTTTTGAAGGATGATATCGATCAAGCGGTCAAAGTATTACTGGATCTCAAAGCACAATACAAGACATTAACAGGTACTGATTTAGCGCCTGCTCCAGCTGCAAAGAAAGAAAAAGAAAAAAAACCAGCACAGCAAAACGCAAAACAAGGAGTATCGGAAAAAGCAGGCGGAGATCAACCGAAAACGAATAAACAGACGGAAGAAAAAGCGTCGAAATCATCCGATGAGAAATCTTCAAAGAAAGAGACATCTAATACGAATGTACAACAACAACAATCTACTGCACAATCGGAGACGAAAAAGCAAACAAAGTATGTATTTTTGTTGAATTTTTACGAGGTAATGTCTTTTCTGTATACATTAGTATTCGACTATTTTAGGCTCGGCATTGAAATAAAAAAAGAAGAAGATATTTCTGGCTGGTATGGACAGGTAGGTGTAGTTGAAAATTCTTTTACATAAAGTGGTGTTTTAATAATATAAAAAGAATTGTTTAGGTCGTACGCAAAGGTGAATTAATTGAAAATTATGATGTATCTGGGTGTTATATTTTACGTCCATGGGCTTATTTCATATGGGAACAAATAAAAGAATATGTTGATCATGAAATCAATGAAATAGGAGTACAAAATTGTTATTTTCCATTATTCGTATCGCATGCTGCACTACATCAAGAAAAAACACACATCGCTGATTTTGCGCCAGAAGTAATTAACATAGATTTTAAAATCCTACATTGTTCTATTTTGCGTTACTGGCTTTATTTTTCAGGTTGCTTGGGTAACAAAATCTGGTGATAGTGAGTTGGCTCAACCAATTGCTATTCGTCCTACGAGTGAAACAATTATGTATCCATCGTATGCAAAATGGATTCAGTCACATCGTGATTTACCACTACGTCTCAACCAATGGAATAATGTTGTTGTATGTTTATTATTTGTGTTAAAATAATAGTTTTTATGTTAGTTGATATGCTCTCTATAAATATTTAGCGTTGGGAATTTAAACATCCACAACCATTTTTACGTACAAGAGAATTTCTATGGCAAGAAGGACACACTGCGTTCGCCACAGAAGCAGAAGCAGCAGCGGAAGTAATTATAACTCGTAAAATATAAAAATATAAATTTTTTAACTCGTTCTTTGTTTTTCAGGTTTATCAAATACTGGATCTATACGAACGAGTATACACGGATCTATTGGCTATACCTGTTGTACGTGGTAGAAAAACAGAAAAAGAAAAATTTGCTGGAGCTGATTGGACAACGACTGTTGAAGCATACATATCTGCAAGCGGAAGAGGCATTCAAGTGAGTAATGTCAATGAAGCGTGTATTTTGATTCTCATTTATTTGTTTCTCTTGTTATTAGGGTGCTACCTCTCATCATTTGGGACAAAATTTTTCCAAAATGTTTAACATTACATTTGATGATCCAAATACAAAAGCAAAAAGCTATGTTTATCAAAATTCATGGGGTTTAACTACCAGAACAATTGGTGTGATGACAATGATTCATGGTGACAATAAAGGTCTTGTTTTACCACCAAGAGTTGCACGTTATCAGGTATTAACTCGTGGAAAAATAATATTTCACGTTCATATACTGTGTATCTGTATAGATGGTGATCGTTCCATGTGGTATTGTTGCTGCGATGACAAAAGATGAAGAAGACTCGTTAATTAATCAATGTAAACAACTTGAGACAAAATTGAAAAAAGCCGGTTTTCGTGTACATCTAGATTATCGTGATAATTATGCACCTGGCTGGAAATTTAATCATTGGGAATTGAAAGGTAAATGGAAGATGTTTGACGGTTGTTCTATATTTTGAAGTATTTCTTTTCTTCTAGGTGTTCCAATTCGTGTTGAACTCGGGCCAAATGACGTATCCAAGTCTCAGTTAATGGCTGTTTTGAGACATACCGGAGAGAAATTGGCTGTTCCATTGAATGACTGCGAACAAATATTGAAAAAATTGCTTGATCAAATTCATAATGATCTGTTTAAAAAGTATTGTTTCTCCTACGTTATCCTTTTCTTTTTTTAAAGACTTTTTGTATTTTTTTAGAGCAAAATCTGATTTGGACAGTCATACTATTGTTGCTGATAACTGGACTGATTTTCTGAAAGGATTAGATAATCAATGTATTGTATTGGCTCCATTTTGTGGCGAGCCAGATTGTGAAGACAAAATTAAAAAAGATAGTGCTCGGTAAGCAGTCATTCTTTGCCATTAGAAACGCTCTTAATCGTCAAATTAATGTAAACTTCATTTAACACAAAATTTTCTTATTTTATTTAGTGATGCTGTAGTCGAGGAAGGTGCACCAGCAATGGGTGCGAAGGGTCTATGTATTCCATTCAAGCCACCAAAAGAATTATCAAAAGATCAGCATTGTGTTCATCCAGATTGTTCAAACAAACCAAAATATTATACTCTATTTGGAAGAAGTTATTAATTGTGGTTAACGTAGATTAATGGAAAAAAGATCTCGTTTTTTGTTTCCGAATGTTTCATGTGTATTTTTGAACCCGTTATTGTTTTATTTCTAATTTTTATTCATAATTTTTGATTTTTCATTCGTTGTTTTTACTGTGAAAAGAAACCTTACTTTTCTTTAAACAAGACTAGGTGAATAAAACTAAAGCATTTTCTCTAAACTTGTGAATTATGGAACGTAAAAATGCAAAGTTACTTATGGTAACCTTAAAGAATGCTTGCTCAAAAAGAATAAAGCAAATGCAAGCGTTTTGTCACAGGTGAAACATCATTCATCTACTTAAATATTAAATATTTTATAAGACAAAAATCTGGTTAAACAGTAACACTGCAAATTCTAAATGCCGTTCGTTTAACTGAAGTATTTTTTATTTTTTATTTTACCTGTCCTTTTTCATGAAAAACAATTTTTTCAGCCCATCGACTGTAAAAAAGCAGTCCATTTCAGTCTACAATACAAAAACAACAAGTTTTCCACTGATTATTCCTCAATTCAAGCGAATTCAAAAGTCTTTTTCGAGTCTAGACCAGTCCATGGTCTTGAAAGTTTGAGTCTAGTCCGAGCCCATGTGCTCATAAAATTTGCGTGTGACCATATTTGAATAACTCAAGAACGATAAGAGTTAGAGACCTGCGGTTTTCACCATTTTGTGAAGAAGATGTTTCTCTATCATTTCATGCACGACGACTTGGAGAACTCGAATTTTCAAGTGGTGTACTTCACACATTCATCTTTAAAATATTCGGTTGCTGTTCTCTTATGTGCCACAGAGTCCTCTATATACAAATTAGGTAAAAGATAGCCTAGGATGTCCTCTACAAATCTGCGCAAGGCCGACGTTGCTAGCTTGTTCCGTTCATGAGCTATAAGCATTTTTTGAAGAGTCCCGATTTCAGCCAGTTGGCCTTCTGTCATTCCAAAACAAGTCAAAATAGGGATAATCGATCATGCTAAGTCACGTGGTGATGTTTGCTTTTAGTTTCAAAACGATTTGAGTCACTATATCAAGATTTTTAAATTTCAACGTTCTGCGGCTTTGGGGCATATTGAGTGTGACTGTAGTTGACTTCAAAATATAGCTGAGAAATAATTTGGCGATCGAAGACTGTATTTTGGTGAATAACAAGCACTCGTTGGGAGAACTAAAAAAAAAGTAAACAATTCAATTTAGTTTAGTAAAAAAAGTCATCAACTAACATTGTCAGTGAGTCTAAACAAGTTATTCTTTCTAGAAAACTTGTTAATCTAACGTTCAAATTATAATAAGCCACTAAATTTTTTTCCAAAAGACGCCTCAACATACTGTAGTACGCTACACTAAAGGCTATAATTTAATAGCACTGGTCAGTCTAAGGGCTAGAAGTTGTTGGCGTTGAGGTTCAGATACAGCACCTTTGAAATACTTGACGAACAACAGAACCATCAAACCATTTCGTAATATTCGTTATAACAATTATTGATGACCCTCTGTTTTACTGAGAAATGGGATGTAATAACGTCAGCTTGTAAAAATTAAAGGCGTTTCTTTTCATAAATTATAACTTCCGCTATGTTTGTTTGTGTCTGAGTAAAAACGATTCAAAAGCTAAAATATGATGACTTATACCGACCTTAGGTTACAAGATATGAGTCAGAGCCTATCATAAAGAATTTTCTGCTGTTTATTCTGTTCTCAATAATCACCTTGCAGCTCTTACTCTTAAGGAATCATCGGAGCAAGAATAGCTTTGACAGTATTTTTGTTATTCGCGAAGTTCGATAATTGTGTAGTGGAAATTTGATTGTTTTGTGACGAGAGAAACTCCGTACCTTCGTTGATCCTTATATATGTACATTGATTCTGAACTTAATGGAATACTTTGTATGTGTAGTTCTGCGTTTGTTTCCTTCTCTCTATTAAGCGAATTAATTATTACATTGTTGTATCATGACACGTATTAATGTAGTCGATCTGTGAAAAACATTTGCCCTAATAAACTGTCCAATTGTTTTTGTATAAACAAAAGATACATAGATTGAATATCACTCAAAGTAGTATTTTATAAAGAATATGGTATGTTGAATCCATGCGTTACAAATTGACACGCTCATTTCAAGAGTATACTACTAGTGTTCATAAAAATTAGCAGATAGGGCAAAATTGTTTTCTCTAAATATTATACATAATGATGTCCCCCGATAGACTACAATTAACTAATGATGATCTGATATATAATTGCACATGTTTCTCTCTTTCTCTCTCTCTTTGCCTCTCTAGATTTGGCAACAAAAAGGCTTGAACAATTTCCGTATTAACGTTAAAATCAGTCGGTGGTCGCCAAACTTAGGAAAGAATGAAGAAAAAAGAAGTGTTCTATTTTTAAACGAAAACAATAACATTTTTCTCCAGTCACTTGAAATGTGTGAAAATATTTAATTTATCTTTCAATGTCAACTATATTATCAGCACGCGAAACATAGACAAAGGTTAACTTGAAAATTAATATATTCTCAGGATAAGTACAGATACTAACATGTAAGTTTTTATCAATACAATTTATTAGAAAACACAACAATTCTTCTTATTAAAAAGTAATATTCATCGACAATTGACAAGTTGTGGATTTGATCTAGTACTTTTTTTTGCGATTTTCGTTTTCCTCTATTAGTCATAAGACGAAAAGGGTGACGGTCAATTCTCTCAATGTTTTCTACTCTCTTTCGACTGAATACTGAATTTTTGGAAGAGAAGCAGCGAAGCCTGAGAGGGGAAGGCGGGCCTACCGATAGAAACAGAATGCTTCAAGGTCCGTGTGCGGTATTATAAGTCAGTTTTTCGTCGAGTTTTGGGAGAAATAGAAGATTTTTTTTGGAAGAGAAGATCGCAGCTCTCTTCACATTTCCCCAAATCAGCCACTGCTTCTACTATCAATGAAGGTCAATATTCCTTATGAAACGTTGTTATTATGTTAACCAAGATCTCATTAACGCCGGTGGCATGTCCCGACAACACATTTTCTAAAAATTTACACTATAGGCTATAAACTAAAAAGGCGAATAAATCTACATGAGGTGACTCGTTTTAGAAATTGAACAAGGTGATCCTGAATCATGAAATGGAATTATTTGATGATCATTCAATTTGTCACTAATATTTTGCGTAGAAGGTGACGTAGACATTTGTGAAAATACATTGTAGGGTACATCTGGTGTTAGATGACTTGTTACATTCATATTGAACGTTGCATGATAACGCGATGTTGACGGTGAATTTGTCATGCAGGACAATGAATTCAAGTGTTTATTTTGAAGCATAGTTGTTGTTGGAGTCATAAAGGCACTTGGTTGTGTTAAACATGAGACATTCGATGTTTGTGGCCAAGATGAAGGAAACTGAAAGGAGACATCGTTCTGCAGCCACTTTTGACTATGAACTGATTCTCGATCATTATTGATGACTGCCGTTGTTTTTTCGCCAGTATTAGTATCACGAACAGTAAAACACTCCAAATGTGATAAAAGTCGTAGTCGTAAAGGATGTTGTACATCGAAACCTTCATTCGATATTAAATACCGTGAAACCTCAGCAATACCTAGAAGAAAAATGTTTTGCATAATTAGACGTTCTATTGAGAAAAAAAATTAATTTACATTCACGAAAACCAATTGAACGATAATCTGCCGTATCATGTGTCCAATGAGATGAGTCTACAAAAGAAAGTTAAATATGATGGAATAATGGAAGGACAAAATAATAGTTGTATGTAATTACCTTTTGGTTGAAGTGTTTTCAAATGTTCAACTGTCATTTGCAAAATTTCTGCTTTTTCTAACTTAGCTGCGCCGTCTTTTTGTATTGCTTGTGGTACAAGTCGTCTCAATTCCGTTAAACTATGATTAATTCGATCTCGTCGACGTTTTTCGATAATACCGCGACGCTTTTTTCGATTGTTCACATGTTCAAAATCATAAGTCATTGAATTTGGACTAAGACCAGAACTAAAAATCAAAATCAAAAATATATTTAACTGATAAATTAACTTGTACATCACCTACTTAACATTATCATCACCGTCATCTGAATCACTTCGATACAAACGTTTCATGTTTTTCGAATATGTTTCTTCGTAAAAATGCATTTTTTTAACAGATTCTTCTTCTTCCAACGTGACTCTCAGTTCAATATTATAAATCAGT